TACAAACTTTGGATTTACATTAGCTTAAAATGCTATTAAATACACATACATTTTATTTCAGTAGGTATAAATAAATTTGATACAAATATATTATTGAATAAGGTTTTTAAAGTAACAACTCAGGACAGATATGTGCATTACGTATCCTTTTACAAAAACATAATGATCTCTAAAACTCTTTCTGATTTAACTAGTAGCACTGAGATAACGGTCCATAGGACTATCAATAATCCTATGACTAAGAGAGTTTTTTGAGATGCTAAGTCTCATTTAAATAATACTGATGCTTTCATAGGCTTTATTGACCAGTGATGATCAGTTGGACAATGAGTGATACAAACAGCGACGGAAATGATTTAAATTATTTTTCTTTTCATAAAAAATCAGAAATTTATTACATTACAAAAATTTGTTATATTGATTTCACTGAAATAAAACGAAATAGTTGTGCCAATTAGAATCATTCAAATTTTTACAATGCCTAAGAGATTTTGAAATAAGTTCAAATCATTCCTGTTTTAGTTTCTCAGTATTTCGTGAACTGAATATGAAATACTTTACTGTTTTAAAGAACACTTTTCAGAAACAAATGTTTGTTAAATATTTCTTACCTGAAAATTCTTTCGACTTCAGTAAATTGCTTCGTAGCTGTGCCAAATATATTATTATCCAAATGGCGATAGATTTTACTTTCTTGAGACATAATTGTATCCGTTTCGGAAGCTACTGTTAGCAACACTAATACGACTAACAAATATTGCTGATGAATAAAGTTGCTAGTATTTTATCAGTGATAGTCGTAGAATTCGCTGCAGTTTTAGAGGGCGGTACAATTACCAGTGACATCATCTCCGCCAGTATTGTGGTCTTCTGCTTACAAAACTGACAACATCAATAGCCGCCCACAGTGTGCTATTATAGTGAAATGAAAGAACAAAAGAGTTTGAATGACACTAATGGCATTCTACACTTTAATAAGTTATCAAACTAAAAATATAGGTTTCCGTTAGATCGGTTTAGATTTAAACAATATATTACCAATAACTTAATCACTCTTGAAACGTCAGACAATTTCTTTTACTCCGAGGTAAAGAAAATGAACCAAACTAATCAGTCATATACTTTATTGCTGTGTATACACCGAACAATTCTTTTTATATTTTAACACCAATCATCACTGAATCACAGTTGTTTTTAAAGCATAATTGTCAACAAAATCTCATATGCATTTGTAACCTTTGCTGTAAACTATTCTATGTGTAAATTACTTCTGATTTATACCATTTGTTTTGCATAAACAAAATTACAAAAAATTTTAAAAACAAATTTTCAGAAACTATTTAACCATTTTATATTTTTTATGTTTCAGAGGTGGTCAGGTAGGGTTCAAAGTAACTGGAAAAACACAAGATTAACTCAAAATATTTCTGGCGCAAATGAAAATGAAAGTGGTAATGATAACGGTGATGTATGTGAAGATCTTGTTGAACTTAAACGACGCCTACTGCCAACTTTGATCGCTGCATATGAACAGGTAGGTAAGTATGTGAATCAACGTAATCTCTAATTTATTGCGGTTGAGGCTTTTTCACCTTGCAAATTCAGATTTCGCTCCATATCAAAAAGCAATTGAAATAGTTTTTACAGGGCGGTTGCGTAATAGTATGGCGAATGCCAACCGAAATATCACAGTCACGATTAGCCGGTCGTTATAAGCCATCTAATGCTTGCACAATAATTGCTGTTAAACTGACTGAATTTATCTATCGAAAAGGTATTATACTACGGCCTACCCACATGTCACGTGCGAGTAGGAGAAATAGTGTCAGATCGTATCCACGACTCCGAAATTGGCCATCGAAAATATTAGCTGAATTTGAAAAAGCCAAACCAATAACGGTATAAAATTCTTTGCTGCTTCCAGCTGCTATTATATAGACAGCACTGATAGAAATGGTGACGAAAGATGGGAATTATTGATTTTCGAGATAAAAAGCTATTCTGCAACACTTTGTATATTTGAAAATGTCTAATCGTGGAAAACAAATTGAAAACTTCAACATAATGTTTGAATTGAATACTATTTTTTCTATTTATTCGAGGAAATGTCATATCTGAGACTGAATAATTTTGAATAATAATAATACAACAACAAACAACAACAGCAACAAACAACAAAAACAAACAACAACAAGCAACAACAACAACAAACAACAACAACAACAACAAACAACAACAAAAACAAACAACAACAACAACAACAAACAACAACAAAAACAAACAACAACAAACAACAAAAACAAACAACAACAAGCAACAACAACAACAACAACAAACAACAACAACAAGCAACAACAACAACAACAACAAACAACAAAAACAAACAACAACAACAAGCAGCAACAACAACAACAAACAACAAAAACAAACAACAACAACAAACAACAACATTGTTTTTACAGCGCTGTTCAGCACAACTGTTAAACGCGTTCATTAATGCCATCATTGAGGGTAATGAAATACACGAGCAGGAGATGGTCAAACGACGCCCAATCTGTTCTTGTTGTGATCGTCATGCAGAAACATTCACTATTCCACAGGTATCGTGTCATGCAAACAAATGAACACATCGAGATAGATTTTTTTTGCATGCAATAAGGAATCTTTCCAGATCATTTTGTACACTTAAATTATTAATAATTTTTAGAGCACTAATAAAGTCGATCCAATAGAACTAATTTTTCGAATTTTATTTGTGACATATTGTCAAAATTAACAATAATTAGAATGAACTCATTTGCTCTTAAGAATTTTGCAAAATAATACGCAGGCACTGGAAGGATGCGGTAATGTATTTCGAGAAATTGATTATATTACTGTGCATGGGAAAATTATTTATAATCTGAAGCAATTTTTGCTAGCGCCTATACAGAGGTGCAGTTTTCCAGATTACGAATCATCGGATTTTGTAGTTTGTGAAGGGGCGGTCATTGTGATTTTTTTGTTTTCATTTCTTAATAACTCAGAAAACTAACTTCTCACTGAAATTCTAATTCATTTCTCAACTAATTAGGAAAGAAGTAAGCCTTTTTAAAATGCAGATACCCGAAAGCAGAGCGCTTCTCTACTTTCTCCACAGTCTTAAATTTGGCTCCTATTTTTTGTTACAGCAAAAAGTAGTAATAATAGAAACGTATTCTGACCCAGTGGACATGTGACTTCGAATGAAATCAATCTCAGATTTCTTTTTCAGTGACTTACTAAAGGATCATTTACAAATCTATATGATACTTATCGTATTTGAACGATCTATTTTACTGGTCTATGAACGTAAATGCAATGCTATATTCCTGTTAGACACGCACACACATCTAAGGACAAGAAATATGAACACAGGTGAACACAGAAAAGTTAAGGAGCTAAGGAAATACTAATTTTGATAGTTGGAAAAATTCGTTTTAAAAAAGAATTTCATTTCATTCAAATAATCTGTTCCAGGAGGTTTAATCGCTATGTGTCTAGTGAATAATTTGGATTGTTTGATTAAATGGATGTGTAGAAATGTTTTCCCGGAAATTACTTGTAAACTTAATTGTGATCAGGTAAATAATCGGCTTCAGATTCATTGTATCAAATTCAATGTTTTCTCTTTCGAAGCAATAATATAAAATTAATCGAATGGTATCTCAATAACATAACTGATAAAATCTCGACATTGCATCATGCACTTGCAGTCTTTCGAAGTATCTGTATTAGCCTTCAAAGGACGACTCCATGAAGATGATCACCCACTATTCGTGCCACGAAATGTGGAGACGTTGCATCTTTTTCCGGCACAACAGATCGATCAAACGTTCCAATTGCAAATGCAAATGCAATGTACTAAGACAAGTGGATCAAAAGCTATTTTTGAATAAATTTATAAAAATGTAACAAATGAACGATCAACGCATCCTAAATATAAATATTAGAAATATGATTAAAAACGATTGCTACTGACTATTAGAACAGGATATTACGGCGCAGAATACATCAAGCAATCTAGCATAAATCAGTTGTAGTTGTAGAGTAACAGTATTTTCGAATAAAGATCCTGTATCCCATCAAGATCGAGTGAAGAAGGCTTGTATCTATGAAAGATAAATTTGAATTTGATCAAGAAACACAAAATTCTTGTAAGAATTCCTATAAAAATTCTTATGACCTTGCATGAATTTTCCCTCAGTGTGATAACAAAAAATTCATTGACCGCATAATTCTGAAATTCATGTTTGAATGCTTGAGTCGTCGAGAGTGCCGAAATGGCTTGGATGTAGAGGCGAATTTGATTTTCTTATCATCTATCATTTCACCAGAGAAAGTTGTCAGCCCAACCATGCTAATTTTTAAATCTCATATATAAAAGATACGGCATTTCCCTCACTTATAGGCGTTTTTTTTTAAAGCTATATATTCTTGAAAAATAATAAAGTAAAGTATTAGTGGAAGCAGAAACTTGCAATGTATCACTTAGTCAAGCAAAGAAACTTACCAGTTAAGTTACCGAACTCAAGACATACTATCTATTGGCTTCTATCACTAAGTTTGTCTCACTCTCACTGATTGCCACACAGTTAATAATCTTTCTCATTCGAAGTGCCTCATTAATGAATTTATTCAATCGTACATGAATGTGCCGAGAGAATTTATAGCCATCATGTAGTTGATATGGCAGTTTTTCGTTATTCTTTTTACTATTGAAGAATAAGTTTAACTTGTTGTGGAAAATTTACAAATTCTCTAAAGTAGCCTTGCATGCGCTAATAATATTATTTTTGATAAAATACATCGTTTTACACTCAACGCATCTCACATATTCCTGCATTGCTTTATCGATTGCTTTTCAGTGATTCCAGGTAAATGACATTTGATTATATTTATGAAGCAAAGAACTATGAAATTATTGTTCATTTCTGTTGTGTTTAAGTTTCTGCGCGGTTTGTTTGCAATTTAAGGGGTAAATGTGGATAAAAGACAATAAAAGCGAAGATGAGGCGAAAACGTTGAAGGAAAAACAAGTGATTCATTAATACAATCCATTGTTTGGTATATTAATACTTTTAAGTTCGTTAGCGCAGGACTTAAATGAATTGTATCCATCTCTTCCTCGTTTGACATCTATATATTTATGTAGCTTAAAGGTATGTGCAGTATCGATTAAAGTACAAAAGATAACCTTTTTGTGAGATAAACGTCAAACAATTCAATAAGTAAAATTCACAGTAATATGCAAATTTTTTTCTTTTATAGAGCGAGAAAAACGGTTACTTGTATACAAGTGCAGAAGGTTATCTGCGTGATAAATCGAAATTTCAACATACACGGCGAGAATATTCTTATTTACCATATTATGAAAATATCAGTCGAAATTCTTCTTTCTGGTTAGAGCAGATAAAAGCGGGCCTGGCCGCCTCCACCTTATCATATGCTGCTGATTCAGGGATTTCTTTTTGGATGAATCAACTGAGCCAGTTTGTTTTCTTTTTCATCCATTTTATATCTTATCCAATCATAGACATTTAATAAATTGTTGCAAAAAAAAAAAGGAAAAAAAGAATCTTTAGATTATTTCAGGTATTTAAATTTTTTCTGTCATCGTTTCTCCAAGGCCGATCATATAAAACTTATCAAGTTTATTTACAATGTTATCTTGGAGCCCGATTATGACCGAAGGCTCATTCATAAAGCTTGCTCATTGATCAAAACGCTAATTAAGTGACTTTTACACACAATGGCGAAAAGTTTCTCCTTAAATATATACAGTTATCTGTTATGATGTAAAAAGTTCTAAAAATCGTAATGTAATTGGATTTCTACAACGTTTACAATATACTATTGGAATTGAACTTCGAAAGTGATCGATTTATTTTCTGTTAGCAGTTGATATATACCAATTTATTCTTTTGTGATCAGCAATGTTTATAACTTTAGTAAGCAATGTTTGCCACTGATAACCAAGTGCGGCACTATTAATTTACCACTTGTCCTTTAGTGATGAGATAATCAAACGCAATGATGTAACTTTACCGTGGAGACCAATTTATGATTTGTACATAGAAGTAGCTTACAAACGAAACAGTAAAAATTTGGAAAAATCGAACATTCGTTCAGCAGTTCTGGCTGTTAAAGAATTATTTCCACTATCAGCAACAAAGGAAATTCTAGATGAGGTTTGGTTCTAAAAATGCTTACAGAAAAGATAAGAAGAGTTAAAATATAATCAGGTTAGCATGGTGTGACATTTCAGATACGTCCGTTTATTGATGTATGGAATGATTATGCAATGATTAAATTCGTTAATTTATTCTCAGCTTTTATACCACTTAAAATGTCCAATGAGGAACATGACCTGTACGGTGCTGGATTATGGTACGATGAGATATGGTACTTTTATAATTTCGTTGAGATGAACAGTTCTTGGGAAAGTCCCATACAACACATATTCTCTGCGTATGTTTTCATTTTCAATCTGCACTGATATGCAATTGTGAACATTAAAAATAAAAATTTGATATATCTTTGCAAGATAGTGAACTTTGCCTACACGATAAATATTTAGAAAATAATAAATCATACCCACTTTGCAAACAGTAATGACATTCTTTTTAACTTTTTTTGATGTCCATTTTAAGCACACTGATCTTCACTTTATGATTAGCCAACTGTGTACCGTAATGTACTCGAAATCTCATCTCTTAGTAACAAATAGCTTTACCTCAAATGAATTTGTGAATATATCTTGATCGACTGGTTTTTGGAAAGTTTAAATTTCTACTTTCTTGAGTTCGAGAACGGGTCAAGTTATTGTTCGCAACCGCTCTGGTTTTGAAGATTAATGTCCGAAAATGGAAAATATGAGAATCAAACCTTACACTGCATGAGAAATGAACATTCTGCCAGTAAAATAAAACCTGATCAGCGCTGAGGACCTCTGTACTTTAACAATTTGCAGGATAAGTGAATATTGTCCAGGATATATCGATTGGTCATCCAAATACACAATCATTTTTTCAAAACTTTTGCGGGCACTGAATCTGAGTGTACGATATAATAAAGTAGCAGTTGGTGATGGGACAGGGATGGGCTCTGAAAGTTCAGGTGCAGAATGGGTCATATGGATGCTAGGTGGAATGAATGAAAGGTTTCCCTCATTTTATAATTAGATTGGAAATTCTTAGTTAGTCAACCCGAGAGTTGCTATCTTAATATCCTAATATCTTTTTCTTTTCTCTCCAACACTTCTATTTTAAAAGTTATTAAGTCATTTTATTTCTTATCTAATAAGTGGTATTCCCGATCATCGACAAGCCGATATTTCAGTGCTCATCGGTGTTTCGAACGGCTGATCAAATGCGTCGAATCTTTTTTACATCCATTACATGAAGGAGGTCATACGCCAACTCTGCAGTCATTTTTAGATGCTCTGGTCAGCGAAATGGTACGGCGTATCCGTATTGAACGAGTGCGTCAGAAAACCAGAAACAAGGTCTTCTTTAACTCTCAACTGAAAACTGATAATTTCCAACTGTAAATTGATAATTTCCAACTATAAATTGATAATTTCCAACTGCTTTTAATTCATATCCAGTTGCATGCTTAAACAGATTCTCTTGAAATGAACCTCAACCTATGAATAGGTACCATCAAAAATGCGCTTTACGGATGAACAAATTGAATGGTTCGTCAGCACATTGCTTCCATCCGTGCTTTATTCGGTGTTTTCAACGACTGAAACATCAGCATCTAACGTTATACGAAATTTAGCATTTCTCGCACCACAACTAGTCTTACCAAAGTGTCTTGACTTGTAAGTTTAACTGACTTTTTGGATCAAAAAAAAAAAAAAAACAAAATATGATTCATAAGACGAAGACAAAATGGCTATATTTCAAAATATCGTAGCAAATGTTCTGCTAATCACAAGAATAATGACCCATGATCTAATGAATATTGCACGAGTGGACAGCGGTCATTACTGGGGTAAATTTTTTGGAAGACAATTCGATAAGTTTGAAAAGAAAAACTTTTTTCAAAGTCTTTTTATAATCAAAACAATTATACCGACTTTTTGAAAATGATGAGAAAGCGTTTTTATTTTACGTTTTTTTAGAATTTATACATCGCTGTCGACTATCACAGAACCACATCGTTTGAAACAGTCATTGGAATGTATTGTTGAAATTTGCGTGCCTCTGGTTCGTGACAATGGTACCTATAGTTACCGAACATACAATGTTTGCAAGCAGAATTGGATTGAAGATATTAATAAAATCACAGAGGTGATTGCTTTCTTATGATTAGTTTTTTTAGCTGCGAATGGCATGTGATCCTGTTTCTGCAATATTGTTAGCATATTGTAATAGCTTTACATGAACAGCTATACTTCTCCTTTGAAAACTTTATTCCTATTATACAGATACTCTATTACTCTTTAATTAATAATATATCTGTTCTTGCTACCACACTTATTTTTTGAAAACTTATTACTCTGAATATTTCTAAAAAACGAGCAGTAAATTATCCCATTTTTCTCCGACCATAATTTCAGAGATGGGAAGATGAATATTGTTCATTTTACTTTGGATTTTTACATATAAATTTTCTGTTTTTATTTTTAAAAAAAATTCAGGACAAACAATATATATCGACGCCATCAACTGTTATAGATGAATTGGAGGTCCATTCTGATAATTGTCGAGTACCGCTACGTGAACACGCAATTTTTCTACTTGAGATATTAATTGAAGCTATCGATATCAATGATTTCCAAAAACTCTCACTTTCTTTGCAGGTAAATCTTGTAATTTTGATTTCACAAAATATGTAAGTAAAGTTAGCATAAAGAAAAATGAGAATTATTTTCAGCGCTTTCTGACATACAGAGTTAGTGTTAGGAACATGTTTTCTTTGTGTTTTGTATTAAAAACTGTATTTGAGAAAAAAAAAAAAAAAAACAGTAATTCAGTCACACAATCCTTCCTATCGTGTTGTTCTAAACAGTTTACCGATAGTTTCACTGGGAGACTCTGTAGATTCCTATTCGATTTATATAGAAAATGCTGCGTTTAAAATTACTACTAGTATAAATTTTCGAGTGAAAAGAGCACTATCAACAAGAGTGAAAAGTTGTTGGATTCCAATAAGATACCTTTATTAGGTTGTCTTAAGTGATAAAGCTCTTTTCTAATTTTATGGCATGGATTATTTTTTGATAACAGCAAAGATAAGCAATCTTTTGAATGCTTACTTTGTTCTAAGAAGTGCTCATTTAATTAGTAACGTAGAGAAATAGCGAATTACTGATTATGTTGTCGAATTTTAATTTGATTTCTTCCTTCAAATTTAACACTTCTTTGCTTCTTTATCAAGCATACTTAAAACCGATGCGAATTTAGACGCTGGAAACCATTTTTCAATTAGTCCCAATTGTGAATTGTTCCGCTGCTCTTGAAATGGCCAAATATATGGATTTAAATGAAGAAGAAAAACGTCTTTGTAAATTAACAGCGCGATTCCCAAACATTGTACAGAATTTTGTGAATAAGTAAGTTACCTGCTTGTGCACTTTTTTTATTAAACTTAAATATTGTTTCATCATAAGTTAGTTACCAAAACTTGAAATGGTGTTTTTTTGGTTAACCTGCTTTCTGATATTAGAATGTTATAAAATAATGAAATAATTTCGCAACGCTGTGAATCATTATTCATACTACATTATCTAATACTGCATAAGTAAACATACAACTGCATTATGATTTTTCTTATCAAATTTTAAATAACTGAAAGTTGATTTTAGATATTGTCTACAATGGTTACACAATTATATTCGACAACAGTTTTCTCTTTTGCTTTAAAATACTTAGTTTTTCCACCATCATCCAATTCACCATTACATTTTCATTTTTCTCGATCTGAGCTTTTGACACATGCATTGACACAACATTGAAAGTCTCACTTCATATCTTTTTCACTCAGAGCAGTTTTTATTTTTATTAAAGTGAACAAATGTTATTCTTAAAGTTGGATATTATGTCACTGTCACAACTGTCATATTTTAACTGGTTGCATCATCTAGTATTTATTTTAGAGTATTTAAAGTGATAACACAACTGTCAAGTTCTGCTCCAAGTGATGGCATATCATACGTGGATTCGATATGTGATAATTCGGATGTAATTTTGATGGGGAGTGAAGAAATTGTGATAAGTGCAACAATTCAAAGCGCTTTTCATGCATTGTTCTTTAATTGTTCATCCAGTTTTGTTGAGGTATGCTATAGCCACTAGAACTGATTGCTTATATTTTAATTTAAGCATAAATTCTTAATATATTTTGTAAGACTAATTTGTAGAAGTAATTTGAAGGCATTCATTAAATTTTCTGTAATGTAATGAATGTTTTGAAATCTCATTATCATTAGCAACCAAATTACTCCAATGTTTAATGCAGTACACTGTATAATTCATCAAGATTCAACTATCATTTTAATCTGTTCTTTGAGTTCAGCCAAAGATTATGAGCTGAATCATAAATTTTAAATCCACAATTTCTCCAATATCCACCATATGAACTGGTTGTGTTTTTTCAATTTTTAAGAAGTACTTCTCGAACTTTCTTCATGGCTCCATGTTTTCTCTCTACATTTAAGGCATCGGTACTGATTTCCTTTTATATATGCAGAAAAGGAATTGTTGTAATTTTGATGAAGTGTGAGTAAATATACCCCTCCTAAATCATCTAAGTTCATAGATCTTGACTTAAAAATTTTCCTTCAACTTTAAAGTAAAGCTAATCCTGAGGTTTTGTTTTCCAGCTAATCGGTGATCACACATACAAATTCATTTCTACATCTGAATTCGAAAGTGTCGTTGCTGCCGATGCTGCATTCTCACTTATGCAGGAATCCATTTATGTGAATACATATTGTAGTTCAAGCACATTTTTTTTATCATAAAAATGAAAAATAAGGATAAACACTAGCAGACGAATTGTCTCAGACTAAAGATATTAAAGATTTTTAAATATTTCTTACTCAGTTCCTACCTAAGTTTCGTCACTTTTCCATCCATTCCATTTTCTTACCATAGCTTTCAAGGGTACTACTCATCAAATAATCAATTCCATTGTATTCAGGCTAATCCAGTCCGTTATTTCCCGATGTATATTAAATTCTTGTTGGAGAAACAAAAGCAATACATAACAGGTAAATAAATTAACTGTTCTAAATGCCGACTGGAAGTTTTATAAATAAACGATTTGCAAGTTTCCGAATGCAGATATGAAGTTCAGTTTACAAATCTTTTAATGCTAGATGTAATTATTAAAAGATACAAGATTGAGTAGCATTTTTAAGGATAAGTGAATTTTTGTGTTTTCATTGCTTCACAAATATTTCAGAAGAGAAGAAAATATTAAAAGAACTTGATGTAACAACAATGTGGTTTGCATATTTATCGCAAATGATCTTCTCTGTGCCCAGCAATCTCCTGCTGAAATATCAAGAGGAATGTATTCAAATCCATAAATGCATTATGTCAATGATTTGTTATAATGCTTATCAAGTAATCTTATTTTCATTTGCTCTGTTTTTGAGAAAAGCCCAAGCTAGAGATTTTTTCTAATTAGTTTTTTTTTTCTAGTTTTTTTCTAATTAATTTCTTTTAATTTGCTGTGAAAATTTCCTACTTGTTTCTGAATTTTTTGTAGGGGGCATGTTGGTCACTTAAAAATGTTTTAACACAACTAACGGAAGTTTATCCTATATCGGAGGAAGATCAACAACATAATTTGGATTTGCCATTGCATTTGTCGTTGCCCATCAAGGTAAATAAAAATTCCTTAAAAATGATAATGGTATGATGTTTTTATATTGATCTAATATGACATAAGGAAAATTAATAACAAAATTGATAGTAATATTAATAAATAACGATAATAATTATAAATTCGGTAGGATTAAAATATTTGTTACAGAAATGGGGTGTTAAGTGTCTTAAAGATGTTGTGACCATAAAATGGCATATTCCAACAGAAGCTGAAGTTGATTTTGCGGAAAAATTGTTGGATGAGTTTGCTTGTTCTGAAGTTCAATTACTCACAGCCCCGGAAAGTATGGATAAGTTCGTTTTCTTTCTTTGGCTTATGTCATTATTCTGCAGTGTTTTATTGAATCTTTCCGTGAATCTTCAGTTCATAATTTATTGTATGTAATTTAATGTTATGCAGTTCTGTTTGCAAAAAAAAATTGATGGCGGTTTAAAACTATAAACGTGAACAGGTTTGCAATCAAGCGTTCATTGATCATCATCTATAACTTACTATCTTGTGTTGGCAATCGTTTGCCAATTTTTAATACCAAAGAAATTAAATTGAGCGAAACAGTTGTTGATATGGATCCTATATGTATAACATCCGTGTCACCACGCATGAAAAGTTCGTTTTTTTTAGTACGAAACACAACTGGCCCTTTTTATATGATATTTTTAGTTTTGTATGAATTTTAAAGATTAAAATATGTGAGTTGGATGAGGACTATTTCTCTCAAACTTTTGAGCAAAAACTAAGAAAGAGTATTCGTTTTCACATATCAAATTCATATAATTAATTAATGTAACAGCAAATTGTAATGTCATTATTGCTTCACTATGATAGTAATTAAGATTTTTTGACAGTTTTTAGTGTTTTCTTTCAATGGTGAAAATATTCGAGAAAAAGTGCGTATTGTAATGCATAATTTAATGGAATTTTTATTAAGCCAACAGGATGGTCAATCCAAAAATCTTTTTCATATTTCATCTGTCCTGCATGCGCTGTGTATTGAACGAGTAAGTATTTTGTAATGTTCCTTTAATTTTACACCATAATGAATAATTTGCAATGACTTCTTAATGATTTACATATTTCGATTCAGAAGTGAAATTTTCAAAAACTTGTTGAAAGCTAGGTAAACCAACAATGATATTTAGTCAATACCGAGCTTTCGGATGTACAAGAAGAATATAAAAATAAATTACAATGATCCGATACAAGGACGTCGTGCTGAACAGTATGACTCGTTTGAGCAACGAATTTTCTCATATCAAAAAGTTCGCTATTTATAAATTTTATATAATCGAACACACATTGTTTAAAAATTTGGGGTCCGATAGTTTAAAATTATTTCTGCAATGTTGGTCATTTCTACAAGGTCATGCCTCAGTCAAGTAGCAAGTATTGCCTGTAATTTATTTCATCACATTAATCACAAAAATTTAATTATCACTGAAGATAACTTTAGGATCTATATATTAAAAATTCCAAATTCACCGAATCGCATCTCAAAATCATGAAGGATCTTGTAAAGCTTGGTACAAACTTTTTCACCGATGTAAGATTTGCCAATAAGTTCAAATATAAAAAATGCTTTCTAATTATTTGGAGGAAATTTCGTTCGTTGAAGGTGCGCATAGCTTCTCAAGCAACACTGATCAAACTAATAGCAAAATTTCCGAATTCGAAATATTTATTGGTGGACGATGTGTTGGAACATTTGGATCCAAAGCGCAATATCAGTCATGAAGAAATGAAAGTAATCCAGAAGGATGACATTTCTAGATTTGAATTGAAAATAAATGCACCTATTATTGTTATTAGCAGTTGCCCAAGAGTTTCAAGTAGTTGATTAGTATTTGGGTCGATCCTTTAGATTTTAAATATTACATTTCCTGTTTTTCTAGCTTATTAATCGTTGGAATGATCTTCCAGGGAGCGCTGTATATTTTGAATAAATGCGGATTTTTGACTTCAAATGCAATTTCTCCCCGATGCAAGTGTTGGCTAGCGATTGCAAAACTCAAAGTTTCCGAAAAACCATCTATAATCACCTTGGTAGAGCGCTGTACTGATTCTGTTTCCACGAAACAGTGGACAATCCAAAGAAACATCGTTAGTTTTTAGATGGACAGATATATTTGTTTTTTGCATAATTTTGTTCAAAGTTTGTTAATTTTATTATTTAAAAATAAAAGACAATGAGGAATATTGCATTGATTCAACTTTGTTGTATATTTATTTTACTTTTATAAGATCTACTGATAACTGCTATTTCAATTAATTTTTGCGTCCGATAGCAGTTTTGAAATTAAGTAACAGTAGTGAAATATTGAAGAACTTTTTTTTGCTAATTGTAATAAAACATCACTTGCGTAAAGACTGTGGCTAATTGTTAAAATGTGTTACCTTTAGGTATAATATTTATATTTAATGATTATTAATTACATCAATGAAATTCCGTAATTATCTTGCATTATTAATTTATTCCATGGAAGTTAATTTACTAGTCGAAGAAATTTTAGGGCACAAAAAAAGGAAGGTATAAGGTTGGCTTCAAGGGTAGGAAAGTTTGATCGATTTTTTAAGAAAAACTCATTAACAAATTTGTTTACAGAATTCAACAAACATTCGTGTCACAGCGCAAGAAGTGTTTACTGATATTAATGCTAATAATACATTTTATGCGAAATATCAAGAATTGTCTCATTCACATGCTGTTCTTATGTCAAAAAACAAATTTACTGAAAAGCATAGAAAAAATTACGAGTATGATATTCATGAACTCTCATAAAAAATGACTTTTTAATTTTGTTTTCATCATTAATCAGAAATGTCAACGACAATTATGTGGTTTGTTATTTAGGTATTTAATTTCAGCTTGTAAAAAGTTAGGTAGAGTTAGGAAATTATATATCTATTATTGTAGGAAAATAAGTAGTTTTCGCAATGAACTTATTGAAATTTGCAAAAATAAGGGACAGCTATATCATTGGCGACAAATTGATTCAGCACGAACTTTTCTTTTCACCCTTCATCGAAATTTTTTCACGGTTGAAGTGGCGGAAGTTAGTTTATGCAATTGAAGGATTTGATTCTTTATTGCATTCAACTCTTAGAAATTTTAAAGGCTTTCTTAAACAGACCCCCATTTCATTAATTTGAAATGAAATGAAATATAAACTACTTTTAGATATTTCTGCAAATGTTGGTTGATGTTCATGCAGTTTGGCGACATACTGCTGCTGATTGTATTGCTAATTATTTGGAATGGAATAAACCACTAACAAAAAGAATATTATGGGACCCACCTAATAAGGCTATTTTAGCATCTACAAAATTTACAAGCATTCTGTGTTGATAATGAGTTTTTAGAGACTGGTTTCTTAGTATCCAAGCAGTGTAATTCTTCAGGTATTTGATCCCAAATTTAAATATACATGTGGTTTAAGACCTGATAATTTATGTATCGTTTACAATCGTGATGGGTTACCAAAAGATGAACAATCTTGGAATGGAACAATATTTGTATCAAAACCACACTGGGGCGCTTATCAGTGGCCAAGGTGAACTGATACATTTTTTAAAATTACCACATGTTAGAACAGCTAGTAGTTATCTAATCTGAACATACAACATAATTGTGATATACAACTTCTCTTTTCCTCTATCGAAATTGATTACACTTTAATTTTATATACAATATTCGTTTCTTCATGATAATATTAGTTCCTACGAACTGTATTCTTTTAAATTGACATATTTATAGTATTTCAGAAAAATGGTGATATCAGCTCCAGCAAATGCACAAACAGAACTGCAACGTTCTATGTCAGAATTCAATGATGTTGAAAAACTAATACTTAAATATATGAAAGATAAACAATTTATTATTTTGTGGCATACTATCTTATTGAAGGAGAAGGAAGACAGTGATGTATTTTATGCTGGCGAATGTCGTTTAGTAAAAGTATCTTATGTGTTTTACCATTATGATTTTGATATTTTTCAGTTCTGCATTCTTCTTCTATAGATAAAACACGTAAACCGATTACTACTACTACTATTGTAGTATCTTAATGATTTCTCAATTCATTTTTCAGTATTTGTTTCGAAACTTTGGTGTATTACTGGTGTCGCAATTTAAGATGTTGTTAGAATCTTTATGTAGTCCTGAGGTAAAAGTATCTCATTTCATTGTCCTAGTTGTTTTTTCGATTCTGCGATAAAGCTAATAAATGTTGACTTTGTTTAAAGAATGGACGTTCTCTTATACGACGCACACAGACAAAACTTGCTGCAATATATTGCGCTGGCATTATCCGTGGTTCAAGAAACTGGCTTTTTAATGATCTGCAAGAGATGTGGGTCTGGTTGAAACCTATTATTGTCTATCATATTGAAGGTATCTTGACCAGTTAAGTCAATTCTCAATCATTTGATTATGCTTTGCAGGAAATTTTTGAAAGTATTTGAATTATTGCAGGTTTGATGTCAGAAACAGTGTACCATTGGGATATTGCGCTGAAGTTTTGCTTGGATATTACTGATGTGAGGAGATTTCATTGGCTAATAGAAACACTATTTGAAATCGCTTTGAAACCTGCCCCGACAACATGGCATCGATGTGTGTAAGTGATTTTTTTTATTTTTGAAAGTTAAACTATGAAAAAATGATGAGGAAAAAAAATCATGAGAAAAATCAAACATAATGTCAGAGTTTTACCATTTTCCTTATTAATCTCTTTCTATTACAAGAAATTTCAGACAATTAAATTAGGAATTAAGTTGAAAATTAATTTTTCTACTATAATTATTGTTTCAGACGACTGGGTCTTATACAGTACATTTCTTCTTGCTCAGCTTGGAGAACAACAGAATTATTAAATCAAGTCATAAATATTGCAAATGTTATGATTTCACAATCGTGGCTGGCAACAGAAAGAGAGCAAATTGCGAGGTTAGAGATTTTTAATTAATTTTAGTTAAAAGGGGAGTTTTGAAAAGTTATCAGTTTTTTTAAAATTTTGTGAATTAATATGACTTTCTATTGAGACGCAAAAGACCTTTAAAAAGAAAAAAAAAATTATTGAAATGCTTAAGCTTCATTTCATACTTGAGTGTATTATGATTGCGTTTCATACTCATTAAAAGTATAGAAACTTTAGCTTTACTTTAGCAAAAATAGAACAATCCAGTGTATGGAAATAAGATAGAATGATCGGATCTGTGAAACTAAGATAAAACTATTAGCTCTATAGGAATAAATAGAACTATGGAATATAAAAATTAACTGCAGCGTGCTTTCATTTCCTGCGGTTTATGGTTTTGCAATGGGTGATGAAAACAATATACCAATGAAATACAGAATTCCAAAGTTAGCAGAAATAATAGATATATTCGATACTCAAGTAATAACTCTTGCCTGTTGTACAATTTCATTGATATATTTCATTTTCTTAAATTAACTTACATTTCTTCAAAAGGAAAATACTCTTCTATAGATTAAGGAAATGATGAAGTCAAGGAAAATACAAGTAAATAAAGGAGGTGCATCTCCTGAAGTGCAATCAAAGCAAATAACATCATCACCACCACCGCCATCTGCTACTGTTACTTTATCGGAAAATTCACCGTGTATTGTAGAGAAATTTAACAAACAGATTGCTACTAATCCGAATATTGTCATCGTGAGGGTAAATTGCGAGATTTATTCTAAGAATTGTGAAAAATTTGGTTTATTTCTGTAGATTTTTAGGAAGCTATTTGGAAAGTTGGGTTTATGCACAATTATTATTTCATGATTAATAACATTCTTTGGTTTATAAATTTGTTAATTCGTTTCAAAAAAAAAAAAAAAAAAACGATGAGATTGAATTCGAAATTTCTTCAGCGTCAACTGTATATTAAAACTCTGCTGAAATTTTTGAATGTATACTTTCAATCCTGTTTCGTAGCTTTATCTTCGCCTATCATATCTCTCTTTCCACTTATAACCCATCTAGCTGATGAAGAAACAGCCGAGTGAGTTGTTTTTTTTTTGTTTCATTGAAGTTCTCAATCAAAACTTTGGCTATTTTAAAGGCTGTTTAACCATTATGGTCGTCAGATACCTGTGTAATGATATATCTGTTGCTTTCATTTGCGTTTATTTCAGCAACGACGAGACAGAAGTGGTACGGGATGCTGATTTGGCAATTGGCGCAAGCGATGTCTTGTTCCAGTCATGGTCTGGTATTTATCTATGTGACGAACTTGCTGATGAGATGTTGAATAGTGTTGAACAGGTATATTAGACCATTTTAAATTCAACATTTCCACAGTTCGTCATATTTAACTCTATCGAATAAAAATTTTCAGTTTAGTTTTCTGACAAATCAGAGATTTTTAAAGAATAGAAAAATAACTTCGTGGAAAAATCGTCCGACATCGTTTTTTTCATAGTTTCGAAGTGGACTGTTAAGGAAGTTTAAATAGTAATTACAGACAATGAATGAGAGTACGAGTTGGAAGGCATGGGTATCTATAATGAAATTTCTTCATGTATTTATATTTTCAAACATACTTGTTTGCGAAAAGCAAAAAAGGCGTGAAATTGTGCAGTAAGTTTCTCTGAGAAGCATTTCGCCGCTTCAATTAAACAAATTTATAAATCGTTACTGAAATTAGCTGTGTGATAACAAGGAATATTATAACATGACTTCATAATTTAATAAATACATCTAAAATGCATTGAAGCAAAGGATGCTTATTGATTTGCTTACTTACTGATGTATTTACTGAAAGTGAGAAAAAGAAACAAAAGATAGATAAATGCCATAATTTAAAAAATGAATCCATGAGCACTTTTAAGCTTCTTCCTGATCTTAGCCTATTCTCACTTTTATATGTTTAGTGCTATTTAAATGCCTTGTCCTGAGATGTGAACAACTTTTCCTTCACATCACAGAATTCTGTAAACATACCAGAGAATTCTATAAAAATTTCATTTCAGTTCCGATATAATTTGAAATAATGAAATTATAGACGAATGATTTACAATGCAATCCGCCACACACAACTTGAAGTACGACGAGAGGCAGCTGATTGTCTAACAGCACTAATACACTGCGGTTTTCAATCACTCACCAGTTGTTATATTGTAAGTTTTTGAAGACTTTATTAACCAAAATGTTGAATTAAGAGATGCTATCTGCAAGTAACTGCAAAGTATAAAATAGTAATTTGAAAGTAATTTACCAGAAGGAATTATTCAAATGCACAAATCATAAGACACTAAGCGAAAGACATGGCGCTGTATTGGCTCTATCTGCGGTGATTCGCGCTTTTCCATTCACTATTCCAGCACTAGTATTCGATATGATACCGAAATACTGCCAACTCGGCATTAACTCTGATTCTTTAATACGTGTAAGCAAACATTCTTCCCTTCAAGTATTCTTATCAGGAATTAATGAAAGGCATGCAGGCATGTTTATATTAGATTCTAAATTGAACTTCGTTCTCGAGTACTACTGTACTTTAACCATATGGCCAGAATTGAAATAGTAGTCAAGAATTTGAGATTATGTAATAAATTACTTGATTGTTGTTTGATTAAAAGAGTTGTAGAACACAGTAACAGAGACACTGCGATCATTTTTGCGCACTCATCATGATAAGATGATTGAAACGGGCGAAAAGGATGTGATACAGAAATTGCTCGTTGTTATACAAAATGTTATCTCACCCAATTATTATGTATGAATTTCTGTCTTAACAATTAATAAATTTTGTTTCTTATATTCCTCACCCTTTTTTGAGTTTGCTCCAACAAATGCCAACTTTACTGTTGTGCTTAGATTTGTAGAATTATTAAATTCTATATGCTTGAAAAATTTGATAGTTAAAAATGGCATGAAAGATGGACTCGGGATTAAGAAGGATTGTTTACAAGATATGTCGGTATGTATGTGAACGAAGGACACGACATAATGAAACTTGTAAATACATATCAGTAGTTGTGTATTTGACCGTTCCAACAGTCAAAATAATGGGTAGATACGTCAAAACAGCAATACGGATGCTGAGTTTCCTGCAAGAAAATTTTGATAACTGTCCTCTCTCTTCGCAGCGATTATTAATAATTTGAATATTACGGCAATCTAAACAATAATGACAGGTGAACTTTCCTACCACTTCATAGTTGAAAGCCTTTGAGGTACGGTTGTTAGTCAGATTGCTTTTAATAGGTGTCAGTCTTATAGAGAAGGATTTATTTATATGAGAAATTTATTTCTTTCAGTGAAATATAAAAAGTAAGTCTTCGTAGTGATTTAATATTGAGTTCATATTGAGTTTACAATGATTTTGCAGCGATTCACAAAAGTGGGTATTTTCGAGAATAGTAATGACTACAAGTGCTAAGAGTAAGTTTTATTTATCACTTTTATATTATCAACAAAATCGGGATCTTCTAAATAACCAATCTGTAAAGCAAACATAATCGACTTTTCAGGCGATATCATTGAAGAATATGAAAAAATCAAGAAAGCAGAGGTTTGTTTCTCCAGTATTTAAAATGAAAAAGATTATCTCCGGAAAGCTTCAACCTGATGTCAGAAATAGCAAAAGGCACAACCTCAATAATTTTAATTTCGATTCCATTTCATAAAATTTGAGTGATTCAATTAAAATGGTAAAGTTAGGGTTAATGAAATTGTGGCTTACTCAATCAGTTCCATTTTAGTGCGATCGAATGTCGTTACGACAGAATATGGCTTCAAAGAAAATTCTTTCAGCTGATCGTGTCGAGGATTTGCTTTGTTTCCCTGTTGATTTTCAAGAAAACTTACGAAAAACAGATCGTATTTACATGACCGATGACAATAGACGATTACTGTTAATTAGAGAATATAATAATATGGGAGATTCGAAATCTGTGAAGCTCGTTTTTTAATACTTCGATTAACTTTCAGTGTGTTTAAGGTTCAAATACCCTTCCTTGCAATACAAATGAACTACAAATGAAAATAACGGTTTCTAAGAGAGTTGAAAAATTTTTCACTATTTTAATTCCTTTCCACTTTTCTTTTAAAATTTCATGCATTTTTGCAGCAATTTGCCCACAACTTCATCTCGAAAATGTACCAATCCTACAATAAAATCTGAAGAAATAGTTCCAACAAGTAAATCAACCTTATCAATTGAGAGATCCTACGTATGATCTTCATAATCTCCTTTCTAAGTCAGGACTCCATATCTTCTATAAAACTGGAACTGATTAAGTATATCCTCATACGAAAGACATGAAATGTTGACTAACTTTCAGATTTCAATTTTTATTATTCTAAATTCCTTAACAATCAATACTTGTTTGCATGCTTGTTTGAGTTTTTTCTAGTGGACAGACTGATCTACAAAGAAAATGATTGAAAGGTAGAAAGACAGGTAGCAAGAAACTTCATGATTTTTGAATACTGCCACTATACAGCAACAGTAGTTTTGGAATAAATTGTTGCACTGATAAGTAAAATTGATTCTTCCTTAGCTGAGGTGATTTACTGTGCTGCTCTTTTAATCTTTATCAGCAAATTTCAGATAATGATAATTGCAAAATCCTTACCTAACAATTTATGAAAAACGATTGAAAACTAAAAGGATTAAATAAAACAGTTCAGAGAGTGTCAAGGCCTTCTTTACCACATTTTTACTGAATCCTTAAAAGTCTATAGATCATAAACTAAAGCCTTGATCCACGACTGATCATCTCAAGCAATGTTGAAACAGATATTAGTCACTTTTCGAGCGACAGAAATCAATCATTCAAGCTCCAAACATGTTCCAGCTTTAAGGAATATCAACTCCGACTCCCATTTTCGACAAAAATTCATCGCCATAACAAGTCTTTCTTTTTTTCAGGATTCATATCAGGATAATGGTTGTATATTAGACTTCAAAATATTTGTTAACGACAGTGTTAATCAGAGTAGCACTCATCATATTCATGTTCAAGCAAATTGTTCTAATTTCGCTCCCGGTCATTTGTACATTAATGGAATAAAATTCTCACTTTAGATTTAAGGAATAGATAAATTATACGAACTTAGTTGCGATGTATGGCCGTTCAATCATCGGTACTGTTTTGAGGACAACTTCATCAAGATGTGCAATTTTTAAGTCATTTTACCTTATTTTATAAAAAAGGAAAAAGTTTGAGTAGAATATCCCATGATGTGATCGAAGGATAATTAGAAACAATGTTTATTATTTTAAATGATTTTAGAAGTGTCAGTTTAGAAGTAGGAAGAATTGATAGTAGGCTATCTAAATAAGTAAAAATTTTACATCGACATCAAAAAGAGCGAGATATATCACATTCTTTAATTTGAATTTCATTGAGCAACAAAACAACAATATACAGAAACACGACACAGAGACATTACTTCTTACAAAACATTAAAAATCATGGGAAAGAAAAACCCGTAAAGAAACTACTTCGATATATTTTCAAATTTCCAAGGATGAAAAAAAAAATTTCGTCATAAAAGTATCAGGGAAATACTGGATATTGCAAACCATGAGGTAGCTTGTTTAAAATGTGACTAAGCAATAAGAATTCATTAACATTTAATCTCAGTGATACTTTGAATATTTGAAAAAAATTATGAAAGAATCAGGCCTTGCAGAAAGTAAAATAAACACATTAGAACATTGTGTCCAGGAAGTCAGGATTGCATCTCCCAGCTATTCAAAAAATATAAGATCTGAATCCATTAAAAATACATGATGACGAATTCATCAAAAACATATGACGTCTCAGTTCCAATATAGAGGTTCCATCCAGGTATTTATCATATATAATATAATACAAAATGTTAGAAAGCCATTACAAGCCAGATTCAGCAATACCTTCATCATCATCGAATGCTGGATTCAGATGTACTTCGACACGAGGAGGGGTAATCCATGTGGCATCTGGTTGATGTTGAAGTCCAGTTCCAATAAATGTGGTGCTCCCATTACTGCTTATTATTTGAATGTCATTTTCTGCGATCCCTGCACTTAGGTTGTTCCCAACGTCGTTACTGGTGATACTGTTTGGAAAGTCGATAACAACGTTATCACTGAGAAAAGTTGTAGTTCCTTGGTTACTTCCAACTTGCGACAGACTATTACCTATCAAATTTGTAGTCATGTCATATTGCGTTTCCAAAACATAGAGCAAGCAATGATGGATGAATATGTATTGCTGCTGAAAATGAAGTTCCGCTTAAGGAATAATTAACAAGTTTTAGGAAATTGAACACACTCATTTTTTTAAAAACCATTTAAAAATGAGTGTATTGTAAACAGTGTTTAAATATTATCATAAAAGATAGACAGGGAAAACAAAAATAGAAAAATGCTACCTCATTTTGCACCATATGACAACGATCAAGCCTCATCTCATAAACGATGCCAAAAACATCGAGCGGTAAATTTTTCGCAGCACACTGCATCAAGCGATCAAGAGCTATAAATGTACCACTTCGACCGACGCCAGCACTGTAATTACTTCCGTATTTTAATTATAGAATTCCACTAAATTTAACGTTTATATTCAACCACTTATTTATCTGGCCGAGAAAAACAGAAGTGGTAAAGATATATTTGTTTTAAAAGTTTTTTTTTTGGTGAGCAATGATCAACAATATCAAATAATAGGTTTTATCTCCTTTAGGGAAAAAAATACATATATATAACTTAAATACTATTCATAATTGATATTAAGTTCGTGGTTAATTTCTGACACAACAACAAATATCAAACCTGCAGTGAACAACGGTTGGTTTGTTGCTAGGTGAGGGTGGCAGTCGAGTTCGGAAAAGACGAACAAAACGCACTAAGCCAGCAGCATATTCAGGAACACCAAAATCAGGCCATGCCATATAATGCAAATGTTTTACTGTTCGAGAAGGTGCGACTGGTTCACTGATATTTGTTAATCTAAGTTCACGTACTGTGAACTCCTTATATACCGTTTCGTTCATTAATGTCACCTGAAAACATAAATTCATACACCCAAGAAATAAGATCATATAATTAAATAACAACTTTTGAACAAGAGATTTACAATTAAGGAAAGGTGTTTTTGCACGAAATCATACCGTAGATGAAAAGCAGTTTTTGAATAATTCATCTTAGATATGCAGCATCTTTGTAATAGATCACAGACAAACCTCAATGTCAGCATAAAGAACGCTGAGCTGGTCATTATCAGGCCAGTACTGATGACATTTATCACGTCCTTTCTCGACACATTTTGTTAGAGCAATTATTGCCGGACAATGTTGTTCCCAAACAACTCGCCAAAAATGATCACGCGTAGAAGGAAGAGGTCCTTGTGCTGCGATAAATTCACGACGTGAATTGAAACCCTGTAAAAATGCATTTATATTTCAACTCTCGTTCTGCTTAAAATGCTTATTGCTGTAAACTGTCATAAAACGATCATTTTTTCTATGCAATCTGTTTACGACAAAGAATCATTCTAAAGGATCTTCTGATAATAGCTTTAGAAGCTTGAAACACTTTTGATGAGAATGTATCAACTAACAGAAATGTAAGAAGCATTAACGTAATCTGAGCCATCGTCATCATCAATTGGTATGAGCTTTACGCGAGAATGGTCGTATGGTAATATGTTGGTGAAACGATTTTTTGCTCGGTTCACTGTTAAATCCGCTGCTATACATGTTTGTCCATGTCCCACCAGTTTGAGATCCTGAAAACTAGGCATTTCGGAAGTACCTGCTTAAAATTTGTAATGTTTTAAAGAACACAGGTATACATTAATTAAAAATAGATTTTAGTGCAAAAACATACTTCGTATTCTTCAGAAAATCGAAAATCAGAATCAGCTGACATCAGTCGCACATGTTCAGCGAAATTATTGACAAGTACCGGTCTACTGAAAATATTTATTTCCTAGTGAAGAAATAATGTTAAACCATAACTCAAAACATGAACCAACATAATTAATTTTTTGTAACACATAGTGGTAAACGCTTGACGATGGACAAGATAGTTTGAACTTTTAAACTGATGGATAAAACAGATCATGGAGCTCTGAAATATGATATTTCATTGGAAGAAAATGAAGAAACAAAAATAAAAGATGATAAACGAATACCCACTGCTTACTTTAAGAATTAATTAGTCCTTTCTTTAAAAGCACTACTTCGCCTTTTTTATAAGAGCTATGCTGCATTTTTTTACCCTTTTTTATAAGAGCTATGTTTCTCTCCAATCTATTTAAGTCCTCATCGCTTCGATTTTCAACGACTTACTGGAGAGTCTTGACTTCGCCAAAAGCGTAAATACTCGATTAAAAGAAGCAAAATATTTTTAAGATTTTTTTCATTATCTAATATATATATAAAAAAAAAAAAAAAAAAAAAAAAAAAAAACAGAACACACAGTAGAATAATTATACAAATAAGTAGTACTCGCAAAATTAAATAACTAATTTTTGTTAAATAATAAAAAGAAACCTTTTATCGATATTGCTTCCTGAAATGACTGTATGTGGTGTAAATTTCTGTAATGTTACTGGTCCACTAGGCAACCGCTCCAGACGCTGATCAACACCCGTGCGTTCGCGTAAACTACGAGATCTAAAATTATCGAAATTTACTGGCTTTAGTTCATAGTTAATACATTATGGTTTGACACTTTGCTATTTTACTGAAATTCTTTTTCCCCGATTTTCCAATACTTAAAATTATAAACTCCTTCGATGATTCCTTAACTGAAGTGTAGCGCAAGTCCGGAAGATTATTTTCTATTTATGAAGTAAACTGCATCTGCTGAAAACAAGAAAACCCCAAATCCTAATTTGAAAACTGGGTATTTATTCAGGATGCATCCAGAAATATTCAAATAAGAAGAGCAAACATTATTAGATTTTTAAATTGATTTTGTTGTCAAACAGAAACAACATCCAATAATACCTTCGATGATGTCCGGATGTGGTTATCAAATCATTCGCTTTTGCAGAAACCATCGCGGTTGAATCCGTTGTAGTAATGATATTTTGAGGTTGACTTGTCTGCGCATGCAGAATATTTGTAGAAGTAGCTGTGGTTGTGGCAGTGTTCAAACCGAGTTTTGCTAAACATTGAGCTGCTCGTTCGGCCATTATCATCTTGAGAACTACCCAGTGCGAGAAAACTTCGCCGTCACCAGTAGTATTCTGCTCTTGTTTATGCTGATTGGTCGAAGATGCTGCAATGAACAATTAGCTGACCATTAGTCAAATTAGCATTTCCTCTATAACTGCTCCTAACGATGTCTCATTGCTACTCTAAGCTGCTACTGCATAATGAACTAAGGAAGACTGACTTTATTAGCCTTAATAATCTAATTTTTAAAGCATAATACCATAAATGCTCCTGAAGACAATGTTTTAAGATCAACATCAAAACTATGTTAAATAAAACTATTTTGATTTAATCGTTAAATTAAAATCCGAAGACGAAGGTAAAAATAAATGCTGAAATCAAATTTAAAGAACAGAATTTAAAAATAAAATTCTACAGTAAGAGCAAAATGAAAAAAATATCTTCCAAGTAACAGCAATAAGCATAAAAACGGAAAAAACATTACTCGAGTAAGTAAAATTTGGTCTTAAAACGCCAATTCCGATTCGCGTTACTTCCCTATCTTCTCTTTCTCCGACAAACTGTTGTGAATAGGTATACGGATGCTGCTGACTGCCGTATATTCGAGGGCTGAAATAAGCACAATAAGCAATATATAATGTAATGTTAATATTAACTTGTTCTTAGTACATAAAGGATATGTTCCGATGGTATAAGTGGAATACTACACTTTAAGCAGAGTGCAAATATGGAATCTAACGGTGTGAGAACTTGTAATTATTATAATCTGCTTTCTATGTAATAAATTTAGCACAGAGAACAAAAATGTAAAACGAGAAATATAGACAAGGTAGCATCATTGTTTAGTGATTCTATAGCCTCACCATATCAAATACAACATATATTAGCTTATCTGCTACTGAATTCATGAACCCAATCCTTCAATAAAATCATTCCCGCATACTTACTACGCATATTTGTCAAGTCAACTGCTAACCATTCCCATCTAACAAAAGTGTATTCATTTAGTCCATTTTGCAATGCACCATGGAGACGTATCAAAAGTTTGTTAAGAATGCTTCAGCAACTTTATTTCTATTCAGAATTGGCAAAAACTAAAGCACTTTTGATGTTTATTGAATGCACAACGCATCAAATGAGATCATAAGTTTTCTACTAAACGATAAATGAAAACTTTATTGCGAAATAGTTTTCCTCTTGGAAGATAAAAATTTGCTCCACTTCCACTTGTTGAAAAAATCATATGTGCAGTACATATACACATTCAATTCGAGAATCAACAAAAAAGTTATATTAAAAGTAAAGCAAAACCTCAAATTGTATGAAATTTTTGAAGACCTAAAATTTTGAGTTTTCTTGTAAATGAAACACGTATACTGTTTCCTGTGTACAATAATTTTCAGAACTCGAGAGATCTTGACTTTGACAGTACCTAGAAATGAGGTAAAGTAAGCGGTATTAACGGATTCTTTTTAAAATTCAGAAATTAAAGTATTTACAATTTAAACAGTTCAAAAGCAGCATTCTGCAACTAATCTCGACAACCAACTGGTTCAATTTGTTACAATGTCATTAAAAAAACTAGAAAATAATTTCGGACATGTATAAGAACTAGTAACTTTATTGCTCAAAACTTTGTCTTTACGTAAACATTATTCTGGCGACTCTTAAATTTGACATATTGTAAATTATCAAGAAATACTCTCTAAACCAGTGGGTAATTGGTTTTGCCTGTTTTGGAGGACAGTTCATAACAGTTAAATTTAGTGAAGTGTATACGCTGTATTCAGGAGAAGTATACGCTCTATGCTAATATTATTGATCGGAATTCTAACTACAGCTGTGCTTCTTTTTTTTTCATGGATTCCCATGGAAATTCATTACCAAAAGACACTTCTAAGCTGCAAGACATCGTCACTACAACATACTAGCTAAATTTTAATTACATTAAATAACAACCAGTGATGGCCAGTGACTTCACTGAATGCCAGTTTCATATAGTTTTCAAGGCCTTAGGCTTGAATGCTTTCATTAGACCCTCATTAGCCAAATGCTAACATGGAAACACAATAATTCTGTAGAAAGATTTCGTAAACCCCGGGAAAAGAATATGCGAATCAGGGATGATCAGAACTTATCAAAAGGATTGGTAACTTGTAATAACTGTTGCAACAATGAACAAAACAAGGATTATCTGAATGTTAGTGTAGAGAGTGTAAAGAAATGCTTCAGTTAAGCTGAGGTGAAATCAACCAGGACCGCGATGAGAATGGGCCAAGGATATTGAGATAAACACTGTGGATATGAGGGCACTGTCGGAAACTATTTCCTGGTGATACAAAATGACAAGTGGTTGGTTCTGAGTCTTTTCACGATGACACTGAACAATGATCTAAAACATCCACCTACTCACACAACAGAACTTGGACGTATGTCTCTGGGGTCATTGGTACACTGAAAGTCAAGATGTAAACCTGTTTATGCCCAACTCGAAGTACAGCAAACAATATCATTGGAAGGAATGCAAACCGGTGCAAGCATTGAAGCAAACTGAAAAACACATTGCAGAAAGGGCCGACCGCACTATACCATAGTGCATGTGTCTGCCTGACAGGCACGCAATGCTATCACATCATATACACACACATCGTCAATGTCATTATGAAACTTATGCCACCACGTGAGTGAACGAGGAAATGGCTGTAACGTAGTGAATGACAGCTTTAGCTATATCAGCAATACAATTTTAGACAGGTGAGCAGATGTTGTTCCTTTAATATGCTATGCAAGTAGTGTCACGCACAGGAAAGTAACCACCTCGCATCACCTGAACAATTAATCTTAACATGAAGCAACATCTGCTGTGCTCTAACCTGCTTCTCACATAAAAATTCCCAAGTTAGTTTTTATTAGTATCATTACATGATTAATTGAAAGTTCTATGGAGCGCATGTGATAGTATGGAATCCATAAACTCGCAATCGAGCTCTTTCATTTGCATCCACCATTAGCAAACAGCTTCTAATTATTTTATCCTTCATTTAAACTCAGTTATTCGAATAGCTTAGATTACATCATTTGAATCAGTTTGAGGAATGACACAACCTATGATCCTTGATTGCTGCTGTGCTGTAACAGTGATCATTGCGCCTGGTTTCAATATTTCTCTGCACGATACTTAGACAGCAGGGGAATTTGGTAGAAACGGAAGCACTATTTTCTAGAAGTAAATCATAAAAGGGATTTCATGTTGCTTACTTGACCATAAATGGTACACATGAGTTTCGCAGGGATAAATATATACTTGCTTAAGAAAGAAATAGTTAATTGTTACTTTTTCCCATTACTTCCCTTCGGCAAGAATTTTTGTTAAGCTTCGTGTTATTTGAGACAGAATGTAGAATACAGAAAAGAAAAGGAATAAGACACCACCTTCAAAAAACGAAATACTCATTATGATATTACCGTGAAAATTCCGCCTAACGTAGAATGGAACTAAGATTGAATCGTTACTTTCAGATAGTTTAGACTTGTAAGTTTCTCTGCAAACCACATCTCTATGAATGACTACTGATAAACTACATACGAAAAGATAACAAATAGACTTAGGTTTTTTTCACTAATACCGTTTCATGATTACTAATAATTGTTAGTAAATGCTAATTATAGTAATTGCATCTGCACTATGATAGAGAACATCGATAAATTTTGTATATTTTAGGATGTGTGCACTTTGCCCTTTTTGCATTCACATACAACAGCTGAAATGACAAATTACAAAGTGAAAGGATCGAAACCAAATTATGTTCCTCGTATAACAGGCATATCATTTATATGAAAAGCTTAATATCATCCATCATACAAATTTTTTAAAGTATCCAAAAACCATAATTCAGAATTAAAAAAAATTTCTTCGATCACTTTTAAATGCAATGTTAGAAGACCAGTATTACTGTTCTCTAAAAACGATAACTGAAGGATTACTGTGCATCTGAATGATAGAAAAACAAACTGACCGCAAAGGAAAAATGAAAAGGAATTGTGATTAGGGAAGAAATGTAATTTAAAAAGCGGAGAAATAAAAGGAAACTAGTCTGTTTTAATCTTATATTTATAAATGATACAGTTAAATGGGTAATTTACCAAGACTTCCTGCGTTTTTTCCAAGCGAAAAATGTAGTTAAAGAAGCAATACCAATAACCAGAAGAAGTAACAGCACTGTCGTCACACTACCCAATGTAAACAATGTCGGCGAGGCTTCTGCAAATAAAAAAAACATTATGCTTTCCACTCTAATCTTGTAGATAAATCTGAAGATACAATATATTTAAATTGAAAGTGCTCCCAATAGTGATAAATAAGCGAACATAGAAAATGTTGCACAGAATTCGTTAAAGCGAATTTTATAATGGGATCAAAATGATGATAATGGTAACATTTTAGAATACAAGTGGAAGGAAGTATTTTGACCTAGGGAGAAATAAATATTTGCTAGCACCTTCTGTGCTCCATACTAGTTTTTATAAATCTTTAAAGACTCAGGAGAAGAAAAAGCAAAGGCCAACAACATGTGGTGTGAACGTAGCTTACCATTTAATGAGAAACCTTTCTAGTCCACAACCAAATTCTTACCAACAGCTGTTTCGAGGAATATCTGGATTAAGCAAATGGCGAACAACCGCCATACATATACATACATACACACATACATACACACACACACACACATATACTGAAAGATCAGATGATTGAATAAGTGCCCAATCGAAATCCTAGAAATAACCTATAAGATGAATAAGCTTTCCTCTTCAATTATTCGCTTAGTTTGTCTAGGGTTAATCAATAATTTATAGGAACCGAAAAACAACTTGTCATTTACTTTAATGTTTCAAAATCCTACCAACCAGCCATTTTACTGGAACAAAAGAAAGAACAATTATTGCGGTATCAGAAGCAATAGCATATGAAAAGTTTTTTGTGAATAGTGGATCATTTATAAGTTTGATGGAACTAAAAAACACAAATGAATGTGAGGAAAAAGTTATTTCATCGACTTTTCCCAAGCAAATAAGCAAACAAATTAACAGTATAAAATACAACTTAATTAAATAATTAATTATACCAAATTTACATGACCGAGAAAGTCAAGAGGAGTCGTAGTTTTCATTTTACATTTCAAAATGTTCCATAGCGTAAGGAATGGATAGTGCACAATTATTATTGAGTAAAAGAATGTGATGAAAATGCTACGCTTAAGAAAGACAAGAAAAAGATGAATTAATCCATAAAAATAAATCAACACGCTAAATTATTTGATTCAGTGAAATAGCATATGCAGTTTAAGGTATAAATTACATATTGAAATAATGATGTTTTTGCGGAGCTAAACAATTACATCATATTCTCAGACTACAACATGCTTCATCTACGTTTTCAGGTGTCTCGGGAATAGCGTTGTGACGAAAGTACATAGTTGTGTTTAAACACACATACATACACAGAGACACAGTTCCTCATCCAATTTTTAAACAAACATAGCTTTGGAAGAGATACAATCGGAGAAAGAGCACAAGAGTGGAAGAAATGAACTGAAGTTAATTATCAAACAGAAAGGAGAACAGTCGCTTGATCTGATAAACAAAATTAAAGAAGGTGAGAGGAATCCCATTCACACTATTTTTTGGAATATTTGAGAAACTTCAAGTGACTGTGAAGGACAAATTATTAGGCACAATCATCTAGCAATATTAACAGGAAACATAAAACACAATAGCTAATTAAACAGGAAATTATTTAATTCCCATTGTTTCTCTCTCTCCAGTCATACTATTATTCTCACTAATAACCATAGTGTTCCTCTTTTATCAATGAATTTCTTTTTCCACTTAACTTTTGTCGCGAATTTTATGTGGCGAAACACTACTATATGAGAGTAAGAAATACGTTATATGAATTTTACAAGTAATGTTTATATCTTGAACCCTTTGTTTTAAGACCGATTACTCTTTAGCAGGCTATCATATAATACTTTTTATCTACTTTCATATTGTTTTTTTGTTCATTCATATTGCTTGCCATAAGGAAAGGAGATCACTAATAAGGCGTCATTATTTTGTATCACCAATAAAGCAGCATTATTTTCACCAAGCGCCAAAAAGGAGAGCATTGTTTGTTTGATCTAAGAACAAAGATAGCTCAATTTTCGCCTCTCAACAAGTTTGGTAAAGGAAACGACGGATTCGCTCTCGACAAGTTTGTGATACAACTACGATTCGTCTCTGTCAAATTATTGTATTATTATTTCTGCTAATAAAAGAATATATTCTATTCCTCTGTCCGAAATCAACAACGTCTCCCAAAAAACAATATTTTTAAATCTTCAAATTTTTTCACGACATCTTTTGCCACTTAGAAGATACAATAAGCACAGTTTCATTGTTTCTTCATCTGTCAGCAAAGGAACATACACAAATATAATCAATCAGATATAAACCAGAATTTGCATTTTTGAATCAAACCTTCTTTAAATCAGTCATACTGATTCATATCCACAAAAAGTTCCAAAATATTAAAATTATAGAACTTTTTACAGTTTCGTTAGAAATCCTAGACTCATTTTGAGTAATATCATCGAAATCAAATCAAGCGAAATATCTATTAACTATCAAGATTTGTCTATCAATTATATGATCACTTAAAAGTTTAAAAATCACTCATTCAAATAGTGAAAAAACCGTTATGGCATTATAGTGCTTCTGCAGGAAACTACGCATATTAGTGGCATAATAGCGTAAAAGTAAAAATAGAGTACTGAAGAGATTTGTCGGTGACTCTTTGTTTTTCAAGGAACTCCGAGATTTCTAAAAACAATGAATAAACCAACTTGTAGTAGCGATTTCGGAATATTCTGAATCAGTCCACATATCTGGTGATGTGTACAGCCGTAATTTAAAACGATACGATGTTGCTGGCTTCAGTGGTCCATTACAAATGGTATCAACTTCGATATCATTACATGTGCCGTCCGCACCTATTATCTGCAACTTTTCGAGATTTAATTTAAACTAAAGAAAACAAAAAAGCTCAATTTTATAACTGTACCAGAATGAACAAGCTTTCTGATTTTATGAGATTGTAACATACACTGAGCACAATCGTTCTAAATTTCTCTATTGACCTAATTAGGTTTCTTTTTTGCGACTAAATTTGTTCAACTAAAGTAAATCAGCAATCTCAATTGAGTCCTTTCTGGAAATAATAACTGCATAGCACGTCCTATGGTATTTCCAGACAGGTGAAAAAAAAAAAAAGAAACTGATAAGTTAAGGAGAAGGTTAACATATGACACTTAATAAAAGTATTATTGAGTGTTATATGTTACCATCAACAAACGCTTATAAACGAATTAGTGACAATGATTATGCCAAACGTTCAGGACAAAAATCAAAAAACAGTGAAACAGCTTCACACAGGGGGAAAGTAAGCATATTTATGTGGAAAGTTCGAAATTTGGATTCACAAAATTAAAATTAGTATAGAGAATAAAAGTAGTCAGCTACCCATTTATTTCAATACAATTTGCTTGTAAAAAAACATATTCATGTCATACTTCAGAAACAAAATGTGGTGGAATAAATTTTCGGAGTGGTTCGATCGCTGTTTCAACCGCAATGTATGCTGGCCATAAATCGAACTGTTGTGCTTGACCCCATGTCTAAAAATAGTTGAATTAGATTTGAAACATATTAGGCTGACAATTTTAGTCAGCAAAAGTGTAAGTATCTGGCTTACATTAAGTAGTTCTCCAAGACAAAACATTCTAGTTCAACAAACTGGTAAACGAGAAACAAATAAACAAGTAAGCAAGTGAGTAAAGGTTTAATTTAATAACTTATGAAGTGCACATCTAAATAACTAAAATCTTACAAATGTTTTGTTTTGACTGTCTGTGATAGAGCTGATTGTATTTTCATTGTTATTGTTAACTTCAGCAACAATTAGAGCAGATTTCTTTAGATATCCATGTTTTGTATTGAACATCGATGTGCTATAACGTATTCCCATATCTGTGCTATGAATTGTGTTGTACACTATTTCAATGCGTGATGAAGGACGTGGCGGAGCTGAAATATTTCATTCCTATTTAGGAATGCAAAAGGAATTTGGTTTAGAAATTCTTCAACAAAATAGTGGAGAAACATAAAATTTTTCGATTTCAAACACTAAAAATCTTCACCGTGACAACTATAATGTATCTGATATAATCCTTAAAGTGATTTGCTTAAAGTAAAGCGATTACTTATGATTAAGAATACAGTTGCTATGAAATTATTAAATCAAATTCAGAAAAAAAAAAGGGAACTATTAGATCAAATTCAAATAGTTTGAAAAAGTAACAATAAATAAAAGGAGAAAACGAACGTAAAATGGGCATTTCGACGTGTACAGTATCAGATGCAGCACTATAATCACCTTCACCAGCTTCCGTAACAGCTCGAACATCCATCCGATATCTTAAGCCACCAACTAAATTATCCACAACTGCTTCGATCGGTTGTTGTTTATTGTTAGTTTCAGTATTGCTGTCATAAAAAGACAGCGGTGGAGAATTCACTGTAGCACCAACACTCACTGACCAGTCACCTTCTCGATCATCCTCCTATTTATAACGTAAGTATATAATAATTGCTCATATGCAATCCGAAATATTGTAAAGGTTTTCTAATTTAATAGTCATTCTTTGAGAAACTGACAATACTGAAACCCATCTCTTACTATATAAGGAGTGGAGAGCATCTAATAGCTCTTCACTCAATGTAATCATGCACTTATTGCAAGTTTTTGAAGTAATCACTCCCACCAATTTATTCTCATCTCATATTCGCAGGCTAATGCTACGAACTTCATAAGCATATTCTCCGTTTAGATTTGTATCGTGGTTGCTATCAAATAAAGTCGTTACAATAGACCTTTCATGTAACGCATTCGTCTATAGCAACTACAATAACAAAAGGGAAGACAAGGAAGAAAGACAGGGGAAGTTCCAATTCAACTCTAAGCTGCAAGAGTCAGACGACTCACGTGTCACAAAAAGTGTTTACTAGTAACCTGAAACTGATTAATGATGTTGAAGTGCTTTTAAAATTGATGCAAAATGGGAATGATTTTCAAAAAATATTTCGTCGAGGCAGGTCAAACCGGTTCAACGACCTTGTGTTGTGGTAGCATCAGTACGACAGAAGCGCAAATGTAAAGTTCACCGAAAAAGTGCACGGAGAGAAACAAAAAGATTAAATTAATAAAGCAAATAGCAATATAGTAATCATGAGAATAAGGGGAGGGAATGCAAGCAACTGAGTAATTTAACTGTAATTACTCAAAGAGGCAAACTGATTCTTGAACGGCAATACTTGAAGTTTAAAAATTGCAAAATGAACTGCTTGACAGTTTCATGTCGCGACGGAAAATTCCAATATCTCGAGGCATTACGTAATAGTAGAAAAAAAATGAGTGAGGCATAGTGGACGAAAGATATCATCGGTAAAAAAAGAAAAATTAAAGATGATGGAAAGGGAGCGAAGAAGGAAGGAAGAAAAAAGATACAAAAGAAAGGAACAAGGAAATAGTGAGAATCTCTTCCCTTCTTTTGTCCGGAATTTCAAATAAAAATTCATAACTATGAACAATGGTAGAATACGTGGAGGAGAACCTGTTTTCTAGGTCAAATCATAAGGTTTTATTTTATTTTTTTTAGTAAAAGATGTGTTTTCTTCCTTAACCATTTACTGCCAAATAATTTTGCTAAATTTCCACCTAAAATAAAAAATGGAAAGTAGCGCTAAATAAGCTATCACTTCGCACAAATATTATCAATTTGCAATTTTCTTTAAAATCTAAAACCAATCATCCATTCGTCAATACACACTGTTTTATAACAAATATTTTATGAAGGTGAAATTAGAGTTTTTTTTTTTTTTTCCAAAAAATACTCTTACTGTTATTCTATATCATTGGATTCAGAAAGTTTTTCATAGTTTAACTTTATGCCATAATTGTCTTTTTTTCTTTCATCTGGATGAATAGTCCATATTTACAGCGTCTAATTATATTTTGTAGAAATAGACTCTCAGAACTTCAATTCGTCTATTCTCACTTTCCCACTTAAACTAATTGTAACTCATAAATTGTTTAGTCTGCAAGAAATTATTTGCATACTACCAACATGAGGGATCTATTTCAGTATACAATCAATTAAAAAAAAAAAAAAAAAACTAAAAATGAATTGAAAAAGAAACAAACCACAGAATGTATGCCAATAATATAATGTGTAATAATGCCATTTGGCAAAGATGGCGGTAGCCAAAATAATTGTACACTGTACGGATTCAATATGCGCACCATCAGACTTCGTACTGGTCCTGGTCGATCTTGCCGTGTTTCGAAAAAGATTGGTTCCATTGCCCGAAGTTTTGGTAAACAATTCATATCATTTATTTTACCACAGATGACCTAAAACAAATTTAATCTTTGCCAATAATGTAAACTATCTGAAATTTGAATTTATATTTGCATTTTACAATTTGATTAACTCGAAGAAAATGTTTAATTAACTCAAAAAAAAAAACATTTATTGTGTGTCAAATGTTTGAAAATTGTGAACACAGATCACTGTAATAATAGCCATTTGACTATGCAAAGAATGAGAAAAGTACACGAAACCTGACAGTTTTCAGTCAAGTTTAACAAGTTAGAATTACTTCAAGAATTTGTGGTCCTATAGAGGTTGATGTTTTGAGAAAGATTGAAAAATGCACCTGGGATCTAATAATATAACGGTGATAAGGCCGTAGCCCTTCTAAAACAACGGGTGATATTTCTGGTGTCAGAGGCGTAGTGCGGTCATAAATGGTTATATTTCGGATATCTAGTACTACGATATGTAAATTGCACTCCGGAGGATCGAAAATAACAGGTGATTCGAGAATTACTCGGAAAGAAGCTGTGCTTTTCGCTATTTCTTTTGTCGTTATATTGACTTTTGGTGCACTGATCCGAAGAAATTCTTCAAATTTCTGTGCACTAGCAATGCCGCTTTTTGTTACTGTATAAATTTGCACCTGAATTGAAGTTAAATAGAAGATTAAATAATTGGACAGATATTGCAAATAATTAGCTAAATTTTGAAGATAAAAAGATTCTAAGTTATCAAAAATTGATCAGTGGGAAGCCCTTCTCTTTAGCGAACTTCTGTAGATATCAGCAGTTAGGTGCAGTGAAAAGCTCATTCTTCTTTGCCCATATATTTCACTAATTTTCATCATGCATATAATTCTATTCGATTGTCATCAATGCTTACCAAAATGTTACTTACAAATGAACACTATGTACTTACAGAGTATTTATGGTACATATATACTTCATAATAATGGACTTATGACAAAAGTGGTTCATCTTACATCTTACCCTATAACAAGCACCACGTCTAAGCTTTGGTATAGTCAAAGGATCACGTTCATATTGCCTTCGTTCAAAGCGTTTTGACTGTTCATGCCACATCGACTTGCTCAGCGGATCGACGCGTAGATGTAACGTGCTATCTGGACCAACAATATTTTCCCAAACGTCATCCAGTCGCGCTTGAGCCATCTCGGCTACGGGCCATTTTAGCATCAAAGTTCCATCGGATTCCTTAACTTTTAGTTCAGTTATTTATAAGTTATTTTTCATACTGAAGGAAAGAAGTAATATTGCTAATTATGGACAGCATCAAATTTATTTTCACATTTTTAATTTGTGTAGAAATCGGACTCATTTCTTAATTTTTGTAATTTTTCATCTTAGTCAGATCAAAATACCAATGATACAGATTATTCAACAGATCGCGACAAATGAAGATTTTAGAACGGTTCATAATACGCATGGTTTTGTATGTATTTATCAAGTGTCTACCTTATAAACTTTATGCGCCTACGGATAAGGAAGAATAAAGTTTCAACCCCAGAAGGGAGCCTGAAAACGGCTATTACAACCAAGGAAGCAGCAGGAACTCAAATTACCTGCTCTAAGAATGGGGGAGAGCAGGGAGGAAGGGGAAAGGGGAGGCAAAAAAACAATCAGATCGGGTCGGTTATCGGAATAGGTACGATTTAAACCGTTAACTAGTAATCTTTGTGTGAGAGAAGTCTATTGACAACATCTGTGTTAAAAAGCGCATAGTTGCTTCTGCATCCGAGGATCTGGTTGACCTATTAGATGAGAGCCTAGGTTAATATTCCGATTTCATTATTATCAGTTAATTAATCGTTGCATATGGTGCAAATTTACCTTGAATTAAGTTAAATTCCGAATTAAACTCTTCTGAAATGTCTGTGTGTAAACAGCTATTCTAAAAAACCTGTCCATTAATCATTACTAATTAGCCATTATTGATGAGCAATTTGGAGAAATGGATCCTTTACTTAGTTTAGTTCATGTAAATTATCACTCACTGACAGCTGCAATCCAAAGGTTTCCATATCAAAAGCTGGTTGTAAGGCAAAACTTTTAGAGATAATATTACTCGATGCGTTCTCGCTAATTGTTTTTGCAGAAACTTCATAACGTTGACCGGGATGTAGATCTACATAGATTGAACATCTAAATACAACTTCCATCAAATAATATTTTTTTAAAAAAATTCAAAATAAACAGAAACGTTAAAATAAGCATATTGCTTCGGTGAAAACAATCATGTTGTGCGGAAATCAGTAGATTTCTTATCGTGAAGCACTAATATAATGGCTACTTACAGTGATAAAACTAATAATCATTATTAAGTCGAATTTAAATACTTTATAAGCAATATACGTATTCGGCAAAAAGTTTCTGAAATAACTCATTAACAGTTCATATAGCTGTATAATGACTTCATTGCTTGGATGAACTTACTCTCTGGCAGCTGAGGTGCTGTTTGTACTGTCAACGCTTGATAATTTTTCAATGACATTTAATTTTTCGTTTACCAAACTGACGAAACATTTTTCTACATAACTTTCAGATTCTGACGCTATATCCATAACCAGTCTAAAGAAAATCTGGTCAGCAAAAGGTCTGTTACAATTTATATCTATAAATTTTAGCTACATAAGCTTTGATGTCTTTTTCAAAACTTACCTTTTCACTTACAAAGGCCTTATAAGCTCTAGTAGATCAAACCTTTATTAAAAACTACCCGAAAAATAAAAGAACAAGCGGCACCTGAATTTCCGCTTCTCATAATCTGTTAAAATTTTCAAATTTTCAGGTGCCTTTGGTTTCACCGTATAAAGCAGCTTGATATCATCTGATGTTTCACTGTTTTTCTTCGCTTTTGCAATGAATATGTACGTTCGTCCAAGTTGTAAACCACTGCATATGTCGACTGATCTTTGGTTACTTCGTACTGTGACCTAAAATTACTATTGAAAGGATTACTGCGTTGCAAATTTTATCGCAAAAAATTACTATATGAGAGTTGAAAATATGAGTAAGAAATATATTAATATGAAATTTCGCATTGAACCCTTTGTTTCAAGTCTTATGTTTAGACTATAAATCTTTTATATACTATTTAGACGGTATCAGATTCTCATTTAGTTGACTCATTGTTGTGTCGCTACTAAATGTAAATTATTCTTGAAACTACTAGGTTAACAATTTTTGCTTAACTGACGTCCTTTGCGGCTAGTCAACTAGTAAATTGTAACCTGTAACCTAGGTCAACAGCTCTTTGTTAGACCGATAGGGTTAACCTCTTATTGTAAATCACATACTTTGTTTACGCATATTGCTTGCTATATACATAAAGGAGGTCACTCTTGTTGAAAGGGAGCATTGTGTGTTTTTACCAGAAACGAGGAGAGTTCAACTTCAGTTCACTCTCAAGTTATTGTACTATTGCTTCTGCTGATAAAGGAATTATTATATTCCTCTGTTACCCCACATATTTACATCCACATCCAACGAATCTCCTCAAAATCAACCTCTTCCAAAATAATAATTAAATCTTCAAAACTTTCACGACACATTATGATATGATAATTATTCGCTGAATAAGATGACTGAGTAACGACAAATTTCTAGTCTTTCACAAAACTTGTAAGTGAAATTTCCAAGATCAAATCTTACTTCAGTCAACGGATTGTTGGTATTGTCAAGCCGATAACTGATCAAAATTGAATCAGCACCTGTCCTTGATGTTAAGAACCATGAAAGACGTAAACATGAAGTATTGAGCTCTATTACCGTTAAATTTTCTGGAGCATAAGGTTCTAAAAAGAAAGTCGAAGTGATCAGAAGAGAATCAAGAGATCAACACAGGAAAGACAGTAGAAGAAACACAGAGATAGGATATCAGTTAAAACATTTTTTGATAAAGTTTGAATTCTAAAAATTCAAACTTTTGCTAAAAGTCCTGCTATATTTAAAAAATTAAGCTGCTATAACGGTGATGAAAATGAACTTGTTGTTAGGATGCCATTCCAAGGTCGACCTTCGATATCCTTTATTTGTGGTGTAATAGAAACATTATAATCTTGTCCAGGCATCAAATTTCCAAGATAAATTTCTATATATCTTTGTTCCGGAATGTCATTAACTTCAAGTTTCGGAAAATGTCGTAACGGATCAAGTTGTACATATGATATTTGGTAGATATCCTGTAACAAATTCTACATGTGAGCTGTTTCAAATTCAGAATATTCTAAAGTTCTATTACATATATCAAAATTCATCTTGACAAAAAAAAAAACATTAACGAGTTTCAAAGAAATCAGAAGCTTAATTCTGTACAATTCTATTTTAACTCATTCAGAAATAAAGCTGGAAGCTTCAACAACTCACGACAAAATCATTTTGTAATCATTTACAGTTATCAGTCATTTCTTTACCATCTTTTAATATTCATTGTAATATTCATTATCAACCTATCATTTGTTTTTCTATTCAAATAAAACTCTAACCTGTAGAGCTTTTTCAGGTTTCAACGCTCGTAGAGTAATATTAGTGTGGAAAGAAAGGACGGATGCATTAGATGACGAGAAATCTGGTGCTACCGGATCTGTTATCACTGTTTCTTCTTTAATTAGCTGCGATTCACCTTTTCGTCTACCAAGCACTGTAACACTGAAATCAAATGGAATTATATTTGCTCTGAATCAAGTTAAAATTCGCTTACATTAAATAATTTTCTTTGTTGGAAAAAAAAATGCAAAATCACTCAAATGAAGTGCACAAAAAAGTATTGCAAGAAGTAAATCTTCAATTCTTTTTTAAGAGAAAAAAAAAAAAAAACTACATGTTCCTTCAGGTTTACTATTCGTTATTTCAATTTTTAATTTTTTGTAAAAATAAGCATCCAGTTATTTAATGTTTAGTCTTGTTTTTCTAAATCTCTTAAGATTTGGAATTTTACAAAACAAAAAATCATAAATCTAAATTTCCAGTTTATAGTTACTTTTATGTTCATTTCGATTATCAACTGAAAATGATCACAGTGACTTCTACGTGAAATTAATTGCACTTTTTGAATCAATTTATAAGCACTTATGTATCCATTTGGCCTTTCTCATACACTTAATATACATCGTAGTTTTTTGAAATAAGATGATTCATGTCCCTAAATCACATTATTTTTCATTAAAAGAGAGTGGATATCACTGGTCAACTAAACTGCTTATTTGTTCTTACCATTCCTAGTAGATTAAAATAAAGAGAAATAGCCAGTAAATGAAACTAGTTAGTATATATTTACTGTTATAAAACAGAATTCCAGAAAAACATCATTTGCATTTTGTTCTCAATGCGTTATTTCAAATGAAAAGATTCAAACTTTCGCCCTGATTTTTATTCTGAATAAAAATGTGAAAAAATTCCGCAAAATTTAACCTGTATTGATGGCCAGGATGAAGGCCATGAATGCTGATAGTCTTGAAATCTGATGGCGAAGCTAAAAATGTCCGGTTGATATCGCGTTCTGATAGATTTCTGAAATTATCAACATTATATCTTTTTAAAATTATTCGATTCATCACCACTTTAAGTTGAATGAAATCGGAATTGGAAGTCTTATTTTCCTAAAGTTCAAACATATCTCAATAGATTGTCTAACATAACTTTCATGTTGTTTATTCCTACTTTTTTAAAACTTTTTAAAGATTTGCAAAAGAATGAGAGTTAAAACTTTTACACGACTGGTGAAATGTCAACAACTTTAGCGATGAATTGGCCGAAATTGGTTGGAGAACGAGGCAAATTAACAGTGAGTAGTGTTGAACGATCTCTTGGGTTTTTTTCAATTGAAAAATCTGGTAAAGTTGATAAGGAACGTTGAAAAAGCTGCCTCGATCGGATGGACTTTGAATTATGAAATACCTGAGATTTGTTTGGATTATCCGCGAGCTATAAAGTAGAATTGGATTAGATTTATTTCTTCAAATATGATCTATTTTACTATCTATCTATAAATTGCGTTCAAACTTCACAAATTTCTTACCACACTATCGTCGATAACGAAAGTAGTAATTTTTGGATCACCTCGCAGCGTTTTAATAAAAAGTTCTTCGTTCAAGATTTCTAAAAACGGGGAGCAAATGTACTGGAGAAACCGTTAGCTTATGGTATTTAAAGGTTTTAAAGTCCTTACTTTCGCTTTTTGGAGTAAAAAAGGTGTGAATCAAATATGTTACGAAAGCAATGTAAGAGTAAATAACAACATTCAGACTACTGATGTATAAAAAACTTTCAAAAAATGCTTCTACACTATTCTTCACATGTTTGATTACCAAATGATAAGTTGAAATTTCAAACTGTTGATGCCATCTTTAAAACTCAAAAAATCTTACTCTGATATGGGGCTTCTGAAGAAATGTTCTTGAAACCATTTTGGAAAGAAACCCAGTTGAAACTGAACTGTGAATTTGTTGTACCAATTAAGTGCAATATAAAATAGTACTTCAGAAATTTTTTGAGTACATTTTTCAACTTAATAACTTCAGAATAAATAACAGCTCGGGCAATTATGACAGTAAAATGAACGATTATTGTACCAGTGGCATCAGAAAATATTTCTCTTAAGTCTAAATTGGACTTCATATCTCGACCTTATTAAAAACGATCTTGGCTATCGTTGAATATTCGCTGTTATCGATCATACTATAAAAGATTTATTTCATCCAATAAAAGAAGATGGATTAACAATTATGGCAACAAAATATGTTGATCAAAGGCATTTGCTTTTTCAACTGAATCATTTCGATCGAAAATTTCATTGAAGCATGTTGAATCACCATTATTTAACTCTAAAAAATACTTCAGTTTACTCTCTGAATTTTGAAGGCTAATAGAAACGACTGAACTATATGATAACAAAATATATCGGCCAGCAACAATTAGTTCCTAACTGCATTAATTTATTAAAAAAATCAAGAAAACTTCGAAGTATTAAAAGCTTTTGTAAAGTTTAAATAAATTGATTCTACCAAAGAATGTCCGTAATATAAAGCCAAGATTATTACTGCAGTTTAAAACGAGGAATAATATTTTTAAACAGTGATAGTATTCAAATTTTTGGTATCTTATAAGAAAGTCAATAAAACAGACACACGAAAAAACTTGAAGCAATGTGAAATAAACATGCTCTGGCTGTGTTCAACTTTATCATCGCATTTGAAAAGCACTAAAAATTTTTACCGAACAGCCGAGTAATAATGAAGGAAAAAGAGAAATATTCACATCGTTACATTTTAATTCAGAATACAAACGAAAGTTGCTACTGAAATTTCTTTGAAACAAGTGAAGAGAATGAAGGAATAATAAAACTTCCAATTTGATAGTATTTAACACCCTTATAAGTTAAATTTTAACTTAAACAAATTTGCTGCATGCTTCTGATAAAATTTCTAACAGCGCAGGTAAAATTCTCCTCATCTTGAAACAATGAAATATGACTGTAAGTATTACAAAGTTTTGTTCCTGGTTTTTTCAAAATTTTGAGATAATGTAAAACATGACGACCAATTATACACAGCTTTACCACTGAATTTGGAAAACATAAAAATTGAAACAGTATAAAAATATTTCATCACCAAAACTGAAATAATTTATTTCTGAAAAACTAATAACGACTTCAAAATATTTCGTGTCAACCTCTATTTCTGACTCACAGTTTCAAATTTGAAAGGAAAATTGAAGAAACACTTTTAACTGAAACAGATGTTCATAGTACTTAATTTCTTGTAATCACTGGTATATAATCTCCATTTCTTCGTTTTTCATCAACAACTTCTTTCATTTTATTGTTTTTTTTTTATCCGTAACTTTCTTCGTTGACACACAATACGACCTCGTTTAGAAAAGTAGACAGACACTGAGATTTGAAATCGTTTTATGTTTAAACTAATTTACTTTAAAAAGCACAATTTCTGACTATGGAGAGATAATAATATATAAGCGAAATCCGAAAAGACAAGGATACGGTGAAATAAATTAGAAATGAATATGAATAAGTAAAAGAAATGCAAAGTCCTAAGGAATAGTTGTGATCACAGTACATCAAATTTTTCAATCTTCTTTATTAGTAAGAATCGATCTTGCTGCAGTAAATTTCAAATTTCGCAGTGGATGTAATAACTCCGTCTATTTTTTATAAATGAATTAATAAATTAAATGAAATCAAATTGAACTGAATTAGGATAGTGCAGTAACAGTAGACAGAGCTGACAAATAGTAAAAGCGTGAATCGGACGATGGCAGGTGGTGATGTATCGTAATTCTATCGACTAGTTTATATTTGTAAAGCACTGAAAAAGTCGGCCGTCGTGGTTTTATTTAAATGCCAACCAGAAATTTTACTACGGACATAGAAGTTTTGTACAAAACTTCTTTTTATTGCAACAAAAAGTTCTTCCGAATTACTGTTCCAAAGAAATTTGGTCCCTGCAAAATTTGGAGAAAGGGGAAAAGTTACTGACTGATAAGATCATGATGTACTCCATGAGATGATTGCGTGATCTGTGAACAAATTGTAATAATATTACGAAGTGATGATAAAGCGATGATAGGGTGAGAATGTATAGTGGAACAAACCGGTTACTCTTGTAGAATTTAACAACTCTAACTGCAGGATGTGAATAAATAGTTATAATAAATAATTCTGAGAATGCAATCTGTTTATCAAAATCCGTTGAATGACACTTCAACTTAACTTTTACTATCTTCACTTCCTAAAGGACACATTTAGTAAAGATAATTTATTTACATAGCACACATTGTATCATCAATGAATGCTAGCTAATAGAGTACAGGTATATAAAAGCACTGGTTTTTACATACCTGTACTCTATTAGCCAGTTTTCATATATAACATATATTGTAGAAAAAGAGTTTAAAAACTATTTGCTGGTCGTAAATTGGGGCATACAAAAATGGACCGGAAGTGAACATTTTTGACAGCATTTCACCTTTTCGGAACAACTTACCATTTCCGTCGTCAATGTTCCAATCCATGCGCTCCATCAAAAAGAACAAAATAAAGCCAGTATCAACTTTATAGAACTTGAAATAACTACTGTATCATAAATAGAACTATTTCCTTCATTTCTTATCATTGAAATTTTTAAAAGATGACCCTTCGATCGTCTTACGCCTTATATCGGTTATTCACTATAATCTTAATTAAGCCAGGACAAAAAAAAAAAAAAAAATTATGATATTGCTATATATATATATATATATATATAGTATTTGTCATGATCATAACTATCTACTTATTGTCATCCTTATCACTGTCAATATCTTTATCAATATTGTTATAACTATTTGTTCAAAAATTCAAAAGAATATGTCGTTAATCAATAACTACTGGTTGGCTGGATAGCAATAAGATCGTCTTCGGTATATCAATGAAAAGTCGATTTCCGATTTTTGAAGAATTTTTCCGTGAGAAAAAAAAAAAAGAGTTATATTCACCAAGACAAATCATCGGATAGAAAATGGGGTAGTCTAAAACTACTTAGAAAATGATGAATAGCTAGCTTTCTGGTATTGAAACATTCCCTATTTCTATACAATGCAACAATTACTAACTCCATTGATGAATATGGAAGTAAAAAATTAACAGTGATCGAAGACGACTCCAAGTATATTTCCATAACACATAGAATATTTTATTACCAACTTATGTCACTTCTTACAAATGTAGAAATTCTGTCTTGTGAAAATCATTTGTTATCTTATTTCTTTTCCCTATTGCGCCTAAACGATGGAATGGAACTAAATATCATGAAAAATTGATGAATGTCTTTCGCCTAAGAATATGAAAGCAGCCAAAGAAAAATTTTGAAAAGCCGAACAAACAAAATTAAACGGAGAATTAGAGAAATCGGAGAAGTGAACAATGAGTTGTTACGATCATCAGGGAAGAATAAAGCGCTACAACGGAGCGCATCATTACGCATTGGAAATTTTATTTGAAATGCCAACTAAATGGAATCGAAATGGAATCATGACTGTGCGCGAAAAGCGGCTTAATTGAAGCTTATTTATATATTCAGTTATTAATTTTGCAGAAAGTGTAAGACTTCAGTGTGTTCAGAGAACATAAGATCATTGTGGAGGCTCTAATAAGGTCAATTTCAGGCTAATTGACAAATATCTGACTTGATAATGTCTATTTGCATCACTTAATCATTACTTAAAATTTTAACGAATATGAAGTTTCTTCGAAACTCCGTAAATTATAAGTAAGCCATAGATGAGGACAAGAGATAGAAAATGAATCAATGAAGTTTCAACATTTTTAAGGGTAAAAATAATAAAAATTGAACGATCGGAGGAATGCCGAATTGTTGAAGCGCGGTAGTAGGTAGAGAACAGAAGGTCTAATGCGACACACTGTTATTAACTCCCCATCCTCTGATTTTATGATCCCTGAGCAATGGGAAACATAATCTGTACCATAATTATTGTTTAATAGTGACTCTGTGTAAAATATTTCCACTCTTTATTCAAATAAAGACCTGAAGTAAGTTAGCGCAACAATTTCAAATGATTATTCTATTAAATGATCGAAAGTTATACTTCCCTAAATCCGCTTAATTTTTAGTTAGTTTAGGTTGGTGTAGCATTCTACTGAAAGACTGACAGGTATTAACAATTCGAAGTAGGCAATGACCAAACTTTCAGAAGATTACCTATTTACAAAGAGTTAATTAACTCGAATATATGAATGTGATGTTCTAACATATCATTAAATGTAATCTAAATGTGGCATTTTATGGTTCTTAACAAATCGCATGATTGAAATTAAATGACGAATACAAGTCGAATTTTACTTCCGTGATTTTCATTTTGTTTTTTAAAGAAAGCATAAGGCCGAAAAAAGCATATTAAATAAAAGAACCAATGGACCTCTTCAGACGTCTTCGTATGCTTTTTTTGAGATTCGTCTCCCTCCCTTTGAAAATACTAACATCAATGTACCAGAAACGGATTTCCTATGAAATAATTCTTTAATTTTGGATTATCATTTCTCCATATATGTGCTCCGCAAAATTTATGTTAAATTCAACCAGAAAATTACATTGCGGTAGCTGCATCAGCAAATGATAACACTTCACTTTCTCAATTCCTTGCCCTCTGTTCTAAATGAGAAAAAGTTAGAAAATATATAGTTGAAGTTGAATGATATATAGCTGAAGAATTTCAAACTTAGTCCATATTGGTGATAAACAAATTATTTCTCACAGATAAGTTACTTCATCCGAAACAGTATGGATTTAAACAATAAATGTGACTATTTTCTGAAATTGCTGATGAGATACAAATTTTAAAAATATTACGTGAATGTTGAAGGTATTTCATGTATTTTAAAAAAAAAAGTAGTCGTTATAGCAGGTATAGTCTCCACTATCTAAATTGAACCACAGCTTCTCTATCTTCAACGGTAGGTAATAGCGAGTGATTCAGCTATTGATAGATAAATATATCAAGACTGTGGGATCATTACTTCAACTTTTAACAGAAAATGCCGTTACAGTGATATTTTGTTCCGATGGTCTTGGAATGCCACTGATATCGAATGCTATCTAATGCAAAATATTGAAAAGAAATCAAAGAAATGTGGTAAAAAAGAAGAAGAAAGAACTGGTACAAGACAACTCGCATTATTCGCGCTACTTTTCTTCATTAAAGCTGATAATATCACGTTGAAAGATGGTGAAATCTTAGCAATTTACACAAATAAACAAATGCACACTTCCAGTTGAAATCCACTGATTGTCCTTGAACAAATCAGCAGCGATGTGCTCGAAGGAAGGAGACGAAGACGTCTCTGCAGGTGCGCATCAATGTGTTCCTCACAATGACGGTCATTTAGATGTGGTGAGAAAGGAGGTTATGACCGCATTAAACAGAAGATAGAAAGGCCAATGTTCGATTATCTTTTGGTAGTAGTGCAGATGTGCAAGTTTGTATATACTTTATCTGTTCGGATTCACAGTCCATATAAGTTCACTGATGCTATTAATATTTTGTAATCAATGATGTGCTAGTTTGCTTAAAATAATAACGTGCAAAAATATTTAAATGAAATCGTGTAGCTTATTTATCATGGATATCAAGGGGAAAGCTGTGCTTTGATCCGTTGCAAATGCTTATTAAAATTGTAAAAGTCAATAGTGGAACGAAATCAATCCTATCAACAAGCATCTCTTTCATTTTGTATGCAATCAAAAGAAATGCACAAATTGAACGGGCGATTCTTTCTTATTTTAAACTTCTTGACACTTCCTGCAGCATATACTATTATTCATATGCTCTTGACCTTTATTTCCTCTATGAACTGCTGTTTACCTGTTGTTCCCCAATTTATTTTTCTCTTTCGTTCGCCAATGAGATTGAGCCAACAACCAAAAGGCACAAGGCTGCATTTCAAAACCAACCATTATAAGGTACTATTAACTGAAATACTAACTTTTATTTTACTCTCAAAATATAACAAATGTTCTTCACAAATATTTCGCAAGCTTCACAATCGTGCACCGATGGAAAGAACTCACTTATAACAAGACTGGGATTTATCAAGTTACTTCCAAATTACCCTGAACATCGAGGAATTAAACGTCTTCTTCGGAATAAACTTCAAATAATGTCGACTTTTAGTAGAACATAATTATAGGCTTGAAAAAATACGCATAAAACCCAAGTCTAGATATAAATTCTCAAGTTTTTTATCAGATTTTGTGTAGAACTGATTCCATTTCACTTCAGTTTTTTCTTCATTCGCATCCTGCATATAATTTAAGTAATATTTCATATTTACATGAGTAGTCCAATGAATTTTAATATAATGCGTAAGATGACAAAAGTTGATAATGGTGATAAACAAATATTTAGAAAAGGTACGTTTAGCAGTACGCCGTTTTTAACGATTGAAGGATTTTTGATATTTTATTAAGGAATGGCACTGTAGTATTTATAACTGTAATGTCTTCCATGATAAATTTCAATGCTTGAAACTTGAATAGAAAGCTGGCTTTTAATAAGCCAAGTAATGCAAAATACGTCATCTAAAATAAATTTAATTTGCATATTTATTTGGAAAACATTTTACTTAGTGTCATAGCAATAGGATGACTGCATAGATAAATTTTCCATTATATGTGTCATAGAGGCTTTATATATCCGGACGTAAATAGTTTCCTTAGTTGTGAATAAAAGTAAAACACTTATTAATTAATCTGCGGGGAGATAAATGACTTCAAAGAACAATAACTTTTTAGCTTTTGTTGTTACCATCTAAACAGAACTGATTAGTCGTTTTTAGCTGTGAATTTGGAACAAACAGTGTTTTTTGAAAACAGTTTTATTTGAGATAACTTCTGTCCCTAAGTGTGGGTTGTTTTGTTCGTTGCTGCATCAGTAGAGATTTCCTCTTGTGTAGCTGATATTAATGCAAAATGCATCGACATTGTTTCGGACTGGTAATAAAAATAATGAATGGAAAATCACTATATAAATATTTTATTTTAAATTTCTGTTCACTTGTGAAGCGTTGAGATTTGATCTAATATTGAGTACAGTATCTCAGACTGGTCTATCTGACCTTATTTTAGCTCATAAAATTGCTTATTCAGAGATCTTTGTGAAAACTGTGACTTATTTTTTGTGAGAAATTCATTCTTGTATTTCTAATGCAAGTTCTATAGAATGGCCTACCATATCTTTATGTTTTTTAGCTTCTTGAGAAAAAGAAAATGAACCAAATTAGCATGAATTTTGGATAAGAATGTCAAAATGCTTTCGAGTGTGGATAGCAATCTAAATAGTTGTCAGAAACAGATGTGTGATGAGAGCATATTTAATTTGTGAAGATAATGCAAATGCAGCTTTGTTCTGATTTCTTCATGATGCCTTCTTTACTATTTAATTAGGTCGGGAAATGGCTAATGGATTTTATAAATTGAAAGCAACTTGCTTGATTTTATTTGCTTTTATATTCAATTAACCAACTTCTTATTCTTTTAGCTATTGTTCTTTTGCTGATTAATAGCTTGAAGAATTGGTGGGAGCAAACATTTTCAAATTCATAAATGGAAAGCAAGAAGTGGCAGCCAAAAAGTAGGTTATGTAAAATTATCTGTTACTATGCTATTTAAAATTTTTGTAAGTATTTGCAGCAAATGTCTAACATAAGTGTTTTCTCCTCTTTCTAGAAACAGGCGGTATGAGTAGTACCGAGTTCCGAAAATATGGCAAAGAAGTAGTTGACTACATCGCGGATTATATTGAAAATATACAAAAGAGACGTGTGGTACCAGCAATCGAACCCGGATATCTACGTAATCTGTTACCCAATATGGCACCTCAACATGCGGAAGCATTCGAGGACGTTATTAGTGATTTCGACAGATATATTATGCCTGGGGTAAATTGAATTTCATGACAGTTGAATCTATTCTAGGACTAAATACAAGAAATTATTAATCAGGAAAGGGTCTTTTGTGACCGTAATGAATGCTTTTTAAAAGAATAATGAATTATATTAGATTTAGTACAACTAGTTTGAAAGTTTCTTAGAGGAAAAGTCACATTTTTATATTTTTCCGTAGTTTGTAGACTAAAAATCATATCAGAAAGTTGTGAGGAACAAATTGATTCCAAATCTGTTTTCAGATTACTCACTGGCAACACCCTCGATTTCATGCTTACTTTCCGGCTGGAAATGCCTTTCCGAATCTTTTGGCTGATATGATTTCAGATGCCATCGGTGCAGTTGGCTTTTCCTGGGTGAATTTACATTTTATTTTGCTTTAAAAGACAATAAAAAATCATTTGTCAGACAATTAATTTTTTCTAGGCGGCGTGTCCTGCGATGACAGAGCTAGAAATAATCATGTTGGATTGGTTTGGTCGAATGATCGGTTTGCCAGATGCTTTTTTGCCATTTACCGAAAACGGAAAAGGTGGCGGTGTCATACAGGTAAATCTTGTCCTAAAGAATGCTGTGGTATCAATTTAAATATGAAAGAAATTTACAGTTTTTCAAATTTATAGTTCAGACATAACTTAGAACAATTTTTAACTTTCTAAACTCTCCAATTGTTAAAACTCGACCTTTATTTTCATAGTGTTTCAGGGTTCCGCAAGTGAATGCAATTTTGTTTCGTTACTAGCAGCACGATTTGAAGTGCTTAAAGAGCTTAGGCAACGTTTTCCGTTTGTGGAAGAAGGACTTTTACTGTCAAAATTAGTCGCATACTGTTCTAAAGAAGTGATTAATCAATTTCCTTTTCTCACTTGCTTACTCTAATTGATTTTTTAATAATTGGAATTAAATAAACTATTAAATATAAACTGAAGTTTGATATTCTAATTTAGAAAATATTAGCAGCGCTTTTAAGATATTTGTACTTGAAAAGATCAATGAAATGATTTACAGGCTCATTCATCAGTCGAGAAAGCTTGCATGATCGGGATGGTCAAGTTGAAAATTTTGGATACTGATGCAAAGTTTCGTTTACGCGGCAAAACACTACGTTTAGCGATAGAGGTATTATGACTTAAAAACTCGTCCTAAAAAGCTTTGAAACTGATCTCTTTTGCCAGAAAAATGATTTATAGTTACACATTTGTTTATATAATTTATGTTCTGCAATTTTATTTATATATTTTATGTTTGGCATTCTCGACCTATGATTAACTGAAACCAAACTTTAAGATTCTTCAATTTCAGTGAATTGATTATTCTTGTTTTCTCTTTTTTATAGTGAGGTAATCATGACAATTTCAGGAAGATCGTAATCTTGGCTTAATACCATTTTTCGTTTCTACTACTCTTGGCACAACATCTTGCTGCTCGTTCGATGTTCTCTCCGAAATTGGTCCTGTCTGTCATGAAAATGATTTATGGTTACACGTAGATGGAGCATATGGTGGAAGTGCGATGATCTGTCCAGAATTCCGGCCACTGATGGAAGGAATCGAATATGCAATGAGTTTTAACACCAATCCCAATAAATTCATGCTCATCAATTTCGATTGTTCCACAATGTGGTAATTTCACTGCACTGTTAAACAAAAGCACTTTAAGCACTTTTTCAAACTTTCATCACAAAATATTTGTTTTCATAAAAGTGAGAAAGGAAGTAATAATTCCTAGAGTTTCCAGGCTGTTCTCTTAACTTCGTGCAATATTCACGAATCTTAATTTACAAAATCAGTCACTTCTTTTGCGCTATGTTTACTCTTTACATTGTTTTTTAACATTCTCTTGAATTATTTACAGATATTATAAAAAATTTCTAGGGTAAAAGATCGCTACAAACTGACGCAAGCGCTAGTTGTTGATCCACTTTATTTGCAACACAGTTGGACAGGTATTGATTTATTCTTGACATGTTCTGAAATTCCAGTATCTTATAAAAGTCTTATTTCTTAGAAAATTTTGAAACACTGATTAACAACAGTGTTAAATTTTTCTGCTCTAATCTTACGCCACCTTCAAAACAGTACTGTTTTCTTTAAGATCTTCCACCCTTGATATTTTAATATTCTTTTGTTATACTGTTCAAAACTACCGTTTAGACAAAGCAATCGATTACCGTCACTGGAGTATACCACTCAGTCGTCGTTTCCGATCATTGAAACTGTGGTTTGTAATTCGAGTTTATGGTGTGGAAGGATTGCAAAGTTATATCCGCAGAGTTTGACATTTTTCAATTATTTATTGTCCAAATGATTAACAATTGTCACATCTAAAATCGTTTGGTGCTACATTTTTTGATTTTTTATCATTTATGGTCAGAAGACAACGAAGCAATGAACTAGTGCAAAAGAGAGTTGGGAGGGAGATTTTATATCACTATGGAGATGTCTAAGGAAAAGAAGATGAAATTTGATTAAATTAAAATATTTGGCACTAAAAAAAATCTTACATTAGTTGAAGATCTAGTTGAGTTTCCGAAAACTCCGATTTCATTTTATTATCAATTTCACTTCACAACACGTTTGATATTTAAATCTCAATTAACAATTCTTTTCCATATTTGCAGCACTGTCGTTTGGCAAAATTATTTGAACAACTCATACGAGCAGATAATATTTTTGAAATTGTTGGTGATGTAATTCTTGGTTTAGTTTGTTTTCGTATGGTTGCTTCCGAAGAAATGAATCAAGCACTCCTCACCAAGTTTGCAAATTTTATTGCAATCATCATCGTATATACCCAAATATTTTGCAGAATTCTAATATTATCTAAGAGTCTACCCAACCAACAATGCTTCATTTTGATATGCTTCTAAACTAAATATTTGAAGGTTGAATTCTTCTGGCCGTATTCACATGGTACCAGCATCGTTAAATGGACGTTTCGTGATTCGTTTCTGTGTTTGTGCAGAACATGCCACTGAGAAAGATATTCAAATTGCTTATGATTTCATTTCACAAACAGCCCGACATATCTACCGTATCTCTTTCATCTTTTTTTTTACCTTTATTTACGAACAAATAATAAAAGGAGCTCTTTTCAACTTATCGTGTTAAAATTAATCAAAATCTAGCTTTCTATCTCTTTCTACCTTCCTACTTTCCTACCCTTTCTTAAATGTTGAGTATATAGACAAGCGACAAAATAATAAGAGCTCATAAACGATTTGTAGCTGGTGAAAAGGAACTATATTACTTATAACTGGATCAAGCACGATAACCTTATATGAGCCATGAGACCAGCTTGGGAATTCAAGAAATGTGTTGACCAGAAAGAAGTTTTGATTAAAAAGCTGTCATAGCATTAAATTTGTATCATCTAATTGAAAGTTTGCAGAAGATTCGGTTTCATGCCCACTTGCTGAGGATGAAGAACTGGAAACCGCGGAAGAGAAAGAAGAGTGTATCGAACAGATAAGTCTTTTAGCTTTCTTTTTCAAAAATAAGAAAAAGGAAAAAGCTTTCGCATTATTCGTTATTTATCACATTTATAAAAAACAATTTTAACTATCGAATCGGACGGGTCTTAACAAAAATGAAATGCTGGAGCGAAAAGAGAAGGCAACACTGTCTCAGAAACGTTCTTTCCTTGTCCGGATGGTTTCCGATCCAAAGTGCTACAATCCAAAAATTGTGCGTCATTTAACTATGGGTGGTTTCCGGAAAATGAATGAAGACGTTGTTCGAGATTTATCGTTACGGTTATTCATTTATATTGTAAAAGACATTCTAGCAAGTAGATGGGAGAAATTAAATTATAATTGATTTTATGTACGTTTATATTTAATCTAATTAAATCTTCAGTTTTAAAATACTATTTGCAGAGAAGCGATTGGTAGGACAAAAATAAAAGTGACTAATTTGAAGTATTTCAAACATGGTGAGAACATTTTTAGAACTAATATTTCGCATAATTACTTGAAAAAAAAATTAGTGAATTAATTTACGTAATTGTTAATAAACTTTTTGGTATGTAACTCAGTAATTATGCTTAAAAGTGGGATTTTTGATTTCGTATATTTTTTATTGATTTCATTTATAGTTCGAAGTCCAGCAGGGCACGAACTTTTAAATGATTGATATACAATTCTTTAGATCAATTTTTGGTTTGATAAAAAGAAACATAAATCTATAAAATATTTTAAGATAATGTGAATACAGCGAGCTCATCGTCTGGACCATCAGTGGACGAAGAAGAAGTTATAGCTTCTTCAAATACAATCAGAAATTATTAGTGTTAAAAAAAATGGGAGTATTTTATTAACTTGGTTTGCATACTTCATGTGAAAACGTTACTGTGAGGAAGCGAAAAGCTTCTTCAATGGTTTTCTAATCTCTTTCATCTTTAACTGAAATTAAAACATGAATTTGGAACTGAAAAACCTTCTTATTTATTAATTCCTCACAACAATGTTTTTAGATGTAACAGTGAAAACGTCAATATTTATAAAATCCAACATAAACACTATTGAGGAAATACCAACTGGAAAATGATGGCTAAATTATGATATTAAGAAATTGCTGTTCAGATATTTCTTCAATTCTTATCGAATAAATTTTCTTCCTGTGACAAGAAATAAACAGATTATGACTGTGCATATACATATGTCTAAGCTTTCAATCTCTCAATTTAAACAAGAAAATCAGGCTTAGCATAAGCTAAGCTTGAAGTTTTATTAAAAATGATTTTTAGGCTCAACATCTGACTTAAAAACTTTCCTGCAGAAATGTAACTGCAGGAAAGTTTTTTAATAGTATGTTTTTTGTTGCTGTCGTAACCCCACAATGTCGGCAGTAGATTATTCTTCTACGCTATCCTGTAATATTCACTTATACAGTAACAGAAAAAGATGGCGATAGTAAATATTATATTAATTAAATGTCCATTAAGTTGTTATACTTTCGCTTCATCACTGCTACTGTCAATGAAACTTAGAAATGTAACTAGTTGTATTTAATGATATTAAATTAGGTAAATAGTTTAAAGGATTGAAGCAGTGGGCATACGCTTCGATTCAATCTAAACAAGTGGGATCGTGAAGTGAGACGCTGGAGTTTGAGCAAGAGGGAAAATGCAACGCAAATGTGAAAAGTCGCATATTTACAATGATATGTCGAGTCAGCAAAACAAGTATAACAAAAAACCGATGTGAAGATAGAGTTCATCGCCAGAAGAGGAGGAACTCCTGAAGATTTAAAAAGTGTTTCAAAAGATTCAATTCGGTACATTAGGCAACTCCACTGATAGCAATAGTTCCATGGAAAATCAATAATGACATTAAAATACAAATTTTAGTGAGAAATCAGTCGTAATTTCATGCTATCCTTTAATGTTTACTGTGCATTCATTTTCTTCATATTATTATATAAGCACAGTATTGCACGATATCGTACAAAAAAAAAAAAAAAAAAAAAAAACATCATATTAAATCTTTCCCGACAATTTTTCAAGGGGAAGATTCTGAAGCTCTTCATACATGAAATAAAATACTAGGAACAATTAACTAACGTATGGCAGAACAACAATGTGAAAGAGTACGGAAATCAGGAGGGGATGATTAATGACAAAATAAAATAACTGAACTATATGTTAGAAAGCTCTCGAGGATCAATGATAAATGGCTGGAATTCGTGCAAAGGACTCACCATAACCATGAAAAGGAGAGGAAATGCAATATACAGAGATGGTGGAATACTGAATTTAAAGAAATGAAGTATTGATAATCTCGGTTACATATGAAAAAAGTGCTGTAAAATACATACGAATCACTTGAAGTAAGCCCTCGAGTAAACGACTCGACAAACAACGGTAAAATAATTTTAACTATCGCTTTTGAGGGAATTTTGGAGTAACTCTGAGGCACCAGTGCATACTTCAAGATCTCCCGAACACATATAAGTTGAGCTATTTGCTTTAGTTTGAAAAGACAAGTCTCAAGCGAAAAACCAAAGAAACTATGTTTTCATGGCAGAGAATAGCATAACTGAACGCTATGTGTTGGCCATGGCAAGGACATGAATCCAGAAAAACTAAACGAGAAAAAAATGGATTCAGTGATTATAACTATTTGTATGAAAGGACAATTGTATTGTATAGTTTGTATATTGAGCAATTCACAAAAATTGCAAGAAATACGGAAGGCTAAAGCAGCTAAAGTTCTTGAAAGATTAATTTTGCTAATAAAGCCAAAGCTAAAGAACTGAAGCAAAAATGGGAACAAATTGAACGAGTTGATTTTTACAACCATAGCTGTGCACAGACGATGGCACTTAATCTAATAATATTTTCTAATGATTGCAGTTAATTGAAATTTTGGACTTATTTCATCTAAAAAGCAAAGGATATCAAAGATTTCTTGTTTTCTTAGCTTTTGAATATTGAACTGCGGCAAAAACGTTTTCAATTAATGCATTTTAGTAGTAGAATATAACTATAAGGTAAATAATAAACATTTTTAAATGAGAATTTTAAAGTAAATGAATCTTCAGTTTCACAAACAATCTTTGGTTCGTAACTGATCCAGAAAGTTTACTTACGAGGCAACATATGTCAAGAGATGTGTCGATCAGATATTGTATAAAAGAAACACTGGAATTATTCGTCATCCATTCTTTTCCAAATTATACATGAGCGATCGTTATAACGTATTCAACATCCACCAAGCCTGGCTGATAGATACAATGCACTGTGATCAGTAGCTGCCATTGCAAATTTGATTGGTAATTTACGGATGTAGAATTTTGCATTTTGCTGTAAAGCGAACCAGCAGTAATCCCACCTAATTCATTAGCAAAAAAAAAAAGAAAATAAGTGATAAATATTGATTGCTAAGTAATATTCTTTTGTATATTTTAGAATGCTTATAAAAAGATAGTTACAAACGTTGTTTTTCCCTTTTGTAAAATTTTATTGAGATGCTCAACACAAATATTATCAGTCTAACAGAGCTACAAGGCTATCAACCTCACACGCACATATTCATCATCCGACAATTACAATTTGATTGTAATATTATTGCCAACTCATTTAAAGAAGTAGCATTAAATTAAACGTCGTAGGGATATTAAGGAAGTTCACTTATACTTATACGTAAATCACGGCTGTGCTAATATTACCAACGGTGTAATTTTAAGGAATCTATGATGTAGGGAATTTTGCTTACATTTTTTTTTGTAAAGGCTTCATTAAAGTTACTTTATTACGGCTTCATTTTCTAAGCGATTACATAGTCCGATGTTAAGTTCAAAGTACTGCATGATCAAAGTTCGCTCTTTCTTTCAACAGTAATATGTCTATAATTCTTAATTATTTTAACGCCTGTGAATGACTTGTGTTATGTTTCGATCAACTGCCCACTTTCAGCATGCAGAAACGCCCCTGCTACTTCAAGTTATTGAATTTCGTTACCTTACCCACATAAATTTATTGTTAGAAAAGGAGATTTACCAACCGTATTTCTCATAATAATCCAGCACTATTCTTTCTAATAATTTTAACTACTAGTACTAGAATAGTGAAACTGCTTAAAGAATGGAGACTAGGAATGAAGCAATATATAGAAAATATTCAGGATTGGAACAATGGAACCATATAAAAAATGCGAATATAATGATTATGACGATTGTAATGATTATGGAATATAATGATTATGACGACCGTTTGCTTGGAAATCATGAACTACGAAGGGCTAGGAGAGATTACAATGATATATTATAGTGGTTTTGTTATCTTCAATACTGAAAAATTACACTGAGATTTCAGAAGTATGAAGCCAAAACATATGTTGCATCTCTTCAGCACTTCTGAAGTGTCTATGATTAGATGTCTGAAGATATTCTTTCAAATCTCATAAGTTCACGTTACTTATAGATTACTTCAAATTATAGGGGTCTCTTGATTCTGGCAATTTTTTATCCTTTTTTAGTTAAGACATTTATTTCTTAATAGTTTTAACTTAAAACATTGCACAGGATGGAAACGTCTATCTAACATTCAGAAGCTCATCCATAAAGTAAGAAAGTAGACAGAACACATCACTGAGGATAGAATTTGAGAATAGAATAAAATAATTCATAGGCTAGGGAAGGACTCTGCTTTGTATTTCACAGTGGTAGAGATCAACAAAGCACCTAGTGATATTCGCATATTTATTAATAAGTGAATAAATCAGAAAGCATTTAGGGAAGAACGCACACCCAAGAGAACAGGTATATTATTATAAAATATAACACATAAGATATTATTTCATTTGTATTTACGAAGTGCTTCGATATTAAACTTCCGAATTACCTGCGAGCAAAGTAGTACAACTTTTAATTAGAAGTACTGAAATTATGACATTTCAAAGCAACCAAGTCAGTATCACTTGACCTTTGTGACCATTGTCTTCTTTTTGATGTAATCTGAAGTTAAGGAATGCTCGACTGCACCAGAAATGATAACCAATTTATAGTGCGGTGATGGAAGTTTTTGTCAGCGACTGGGACTGAATATTGCTAAATGCGACAGTTCAGTAAAGAACAATATTATTTTTTGTAATTCTCGACTTTTTCTAGAACCTTCGCAAGGACGAAAGATAACTAATGTAAGAATGCCATTTCATTTCAAAATGTGAAATTACAATACGGAATGCAGTTGCAGTCTCGTGAATAGTAAATGAAACTCATCAAAACGACGGCTAGCAACCAATATCAAAAGTGTAACAAAAATTCTACATTGAGTCTAGTCACTAGACTTAGACATACTATAATTTAAAGTATTCTCACAATAGTACGTCCAACTTTAAATCTTAATATATAAGAATAGAAATACTTGTGAAAATATTGTTAACTCGGCAACAGTCGCTTGCGTGTCTAGCCATACACGCGTCCTCAAATTTCTCACCTTCTGATGTTACCATTCCTCCTAGTCATGATCGTAAAACTCTTGCATGTCCTAGACAAGTTATTCTAATGTAATACCATGCAAAGACAAAGATTATTTTTGGTGGCATATCAGCTTCGTTTTCTCATTAAATTCTTAAGTAATCAGCAGACTAAATATCACACGTTCTGAGAAATGAGCCATAAACCTGAACATGTTATTTTTGGGAAAACTTCTTGTGAATAGATCAGAAAATTATCACCTAACTTTAAGTGTGCCTAGTAAGCAAAATAATAAGTGAAACTGATAGTATGTGACATCCATCCACGTTTGTGACACCATCCATTGAAAACATAAAACAGACTAGTCCCA